CTTGCGTCAAAGCAGCCATACATGACTACCTCCCCATCGGTAGGTGGCCAAGCGTGATGTGAGCCCTCACATCTCCTCGCCGACGTCTGTCAGTTTGGGCATGGACGGTCTGATTCTGGGTATTGAACCCTCAACCCTCACCGGCCAAGGAGATAGTTGCTTGGCCTTGAGTGCGAAGTTTCGACTGGGGGACTCTCCCGCTTCCTGCGGGGCAGGTGAGGTCCCCGCCTGCTTTGGTTTACCTGATGGCTCTGAGTGGAACGAAGCAGTCAAGCCTGCTTTGGCCGGCGGACGACCTTTTGTGAGTCAAAAGAACGTTGCGCTTTGTGCTCGGAGAGGCTCCACTGGCTGACCACCATGGAGTACTCTGGGCTGGTCCTACCCCTTTGTTCTTGCCGTTAAGTCCCCACTGGCTGACCACCATGGGGCAACTTTATACTTCGGAACACGAAGGTTGACGCCTACAACGTTCCGTGCTGAGGCACGACTTTGCTCCACCTGTGATGGCGAAACTGTGAACCTTCTCGTGAACGGCCTTGGCTGGTGCTGAATGTATTCGCGTTGGTGGCTGCATGATGGTGATGTGAGCCCTCCCATCTCCTTACCGACGTACCTCGCGGGTTTGGGTGAAGGGACCTGATGCGTGCCGATGCGCAGGCCAGCGCCAAAGTGGCGTAGCCTTGTGTGAGATGCCTGGACTGGGAGGTCCCTCGGTGTCATTATAAACCCTGTGGCGTTAAGGGTTTGGTAACTCGCCGTGGACTCTCCCCGTGGAATCGGTAGCTGCTGCTACTCTCGCCCCCCCTCTGACCGTGCGCGGGCACCTCTGAGGGTGGGCCCTTGTGCGCCAGGTAATCGGTAGCTGCTGCTACTCTCGCCCCCCCCTCTGCCCGTGCGCGGGCACCTTTGAGGGTGGGCACTTGTGCGCCAGGTTGACTGGTGAACCCTGTGCTCGGAGCTACTCCACTGGCTGACCACCATGGAGTGCCCTGGGCCGGTCTTGCCTGGATTGTTCTTGCTGTTAAGTCCCCACTGGCTGACCACCATGGGGCATATGCACATCTTTCATCCCCCCTTGGGAGTCTGACTTGCAACATCCTTTCGCCATTGAGTGTCGGTTGTCTTTCCTTGACAACGATTAAGCGATCCGAACCTCGTCTGATGACCTCGGTTTGACTAACCGCTGTCGCACCAGTGGCTACATGATGGTGGTTTTGTGAATCTGGCAATGTCGCATTTTGCGAATCCCCCACAAGCTCCGTGCTTCCTTGTGCACCGGGACTTCATTGACGACCTCGAGTACTGAGTCCGCGGGGTATCTAGTAGTCTAGCGCGATTGCTCGCTTTGTTTCTTCGGTGTCTGTTTTTTGGTGGTTTCGTGTTGTGTCTGGCGGGTTGTGTGCGCTGACTCTGTTTCACCCTTTACGTCGAGCCCAACAAGACCGGCCTACTGTGCTACTGATGTAGTAAAGAGGCGCCAGTCCAAAAAAAAAAAGAGCACCTCTAACCTGGCCTTCAAAAGGGTCATCCTTGTCTGTGCTTGGCCTGCGGCGGCACAGCTGTTTCGCCGCTTGCTTGGCTGTAACCTGATGGCTCTGATTGGATCAAAGCAGTTTTACCATGGAGATCCTTGCGCTTCGGCACGCAAACGTGATGTAAGCCCTCCCATCTCCTTACCGACGTACCTCGTGGGTTAGGTAGGGTTTGGAGGGACCTGATGCAGACTGATGCGCAGGCCAACGCAAAAGCTGTGTGGCCTTGTGTGCGATGTCTTGACTGGGGATCTTCGGTCGCCACTTTAAACTGTGCTTTTAAGGGTTTGGCAACGTGTTGATGACGCTCACGGTGGAATCGGTAGCTGTAGCTACTCACGCAGTGAAGGCTTGGCCTCCCCTCTGGCCGTCTGCTGAGACCTTGCTTCTGCGCGGACATCTATCCAGGTGGGCGCAGCTGCGAGCCAGAGTGAGCGGAGGACCTTTCGCTCGGGGCTGCTCCACTGGCTGACCACCATGGAGTGCCCTGGGCCGGTCTTGCCTTGATAGTACTTGCTGTTAAGTCCCCACTGGCTGACCACCATGGGGCATACGCACGTCTTTCCTCTCCTTTGGGGAGTCTGACTTGTAACATCCCTTTGCCACTGCGGGTCTGTTATCTGTCCTTGACGATGGGTACGGGATCCTGACCATCGAGTGATGACCTCGGTTCGATTCGAATGATGTCGCACCAGTAGCTACATGATGGTGGTTTTGAGAATCTGGCAGTGTCGTAATTTGCGATTCCCCGCATGCTCTGTGCTGTATGATTGCACCGGGACTTCAACGACGACTTCGAGTACTGAGTGCGTGGGGTTACCTAGTAGTTCAGCGCCTTTGCTTGCTTTGTTTCTTCTGTTTCTTTGGTTCTTGGGTGGTTGCGTGGTGTGTTTGGTGTGAGCGCGCTGACTTCGTTTCACCTGTTATGTCGAGCCCAACAAGACCGGCCTACTGCGCTACTGATGTAGTAAAGAGGCGTCAGTCCAAAAAAAAAAAATTGCAAGCACGCCTGATCTTACCAGCCTGACCCGGAGGGACCTGTGCACCTTGAGCCTGCGCGGACACCTGCACGTCTAACCCGGAGGGGCCTGCACCTGAGCCTGTGCCTTAGGCACCTGCATGCAGGCGTGCGCATGATGCGCCAGATCAACCGGCAGCATCAGAATACTTGCGCCTCTAGACTGAGAGGGCCGCTGCCTGCAAGCAAGGTTCCAAGTAAAGCCAGACCTTTAGCTACGGACTCTCCCTTTTCGAGGGCCTGGTGGCTTGACCACCTTGAGCAGAGGTCTTAAGCCAAAGGCGACAAGTCTCGCAAGGCAGACGTTTGGAAATCGAAGCGTGGGTAAAGTGCTGGAAAGTTTTGTCTGCCTTGGATGCATTGTTTGGGGAGGGTTGGGGGGGAGGGGGCATTTGCAAACACATGCTCGCTGTAATGGTTTTTTTCATGGTTTGGATTATTATTGGGGTTTCTGTAACATATCATGTGCGTATTGCGATTTACGGAGATTGAATCCTCAGTGTCGGCCAGCCCGTGTCAAAGCGGAACGACAATTGCAATACCGGTTCTGATTACGCTTGCTGGTTCCACACCTTCGGCAGCTTGACTTCGCTGAAATCCTTTGCAATGCCGTCGCATCACACACTTCGCAACAGCTGGTACAACTTAACTATCTGCTCCTCTTCGCATGCTGAGAGAGCCGTTTCACCATTGTAGCTTTGTTGATTCTTCTGATTTGTTTGGTTTCTTTGGTTCGTTTGTCTTTTGGATGATGCGCCTGACATTTAGGTTTCACCTCCTACAATAGGCTTGACTCGCTTACTGCGCCGCTGGTGTGGTAAAGAAGCTCGTTGCAAAAAAAGGGGTCCAGAGGCTGCAGGCCGTATCCTCTTTGGCCACATCTTCTTCCGGATCGCGCTGGAAGCGAAAGGCCTCTTCTCGTTCACGAAGGACGAGGACACGATGTGGCTGACTGGAAAAGCACGGGGCGAGGTGGTGAACACGGTGGGGACGCCGGTGTCGCTTCTGAAGGACTTCGGCACATTGGTGCCTGTGTTGCAGAAGCTGGGCTTGCAACATGTTGCATACAATGTGCTGCCCGTCCACTACGATGTGGTCGGCCAAGCTTTCATCGCCACCTTGGAAGATGCGCTGCAAGCTGAGTTCACAGAAGCTGTCAAGAATGCCTACCTCAAGGTGTGGAACATCGTGCAGACGACCATGATCGGAGACAACTACACCTACTCGTATTGCGTAGCTTTCGGAAGTTCCCACTGCGTTGTGATGGTCGGAGGCTTTACAGTGCTATGCAAAGTGGCAGACTGAGAGGATTCCTTGCATCCAGCAGAATCTGATGTTGCCGGAAGTCCTCCTGTCTGTAGACGAAAGCTAGACGAGATGCCGAAAAAGCTTGAGTTGGGGAGTAGATGTCGCGGGAGAGATGCAGGAACCGAAGGTGAAAGTGGATCCGTTTCTGCAGGTCTGCTTGCGCGTCTGTTTGCACTTGGATGTTGACATGTTTCGCCATGTCTTGCTCGCCGCCGAGTCGTGCAAATAGCATAGGCGCCTCCTGCTTAAGGTGAGACATAGGCATACACCAGCTTTGGGTCACTACTTGCAAAAGCTCTGCCACGTGTCCCTGTTTGACTTGGAACAAACCTTGAAACCTGCAAGCTCGTCTGAAGACTGCCTGGCGTTGCAGGAAGGTTCACTGCTAGAAGGGCCTTGCTGAACATGCTTTCATCCCAGTCTTTTTGGACAATTTCCGAGGGATCCCTTGTGCAAATTCTTGAACATTGTATTTGAGCTGCATGCCTTGACTCGTCGCCCGAAAGGCCTGGTGTCAAAAGTTGAAAGTCCTAGTCAGCCCGCACTGGTTGCATGCCACACTATCTCAAGCGTTTTTTTTTGTGCCCCCGAAGCCGCAAAATGCTCAGTGCAGCATGTGAGTGCATTGTTCTGTGTGGTTTGTGTGACAGCCATGTGCGTGCTCATGTCTTGTGCAGCTAGCTCGTGAACTTGCGCCATAAACGCATCGCTAGTGCAGAAGCCTAAACCTGCAAGCGCCGTTGTCTTTTGCTTTCTTCGGATATTTGTTTTACAACATGTGGAGAAGCATGGGCACCCTGTGTGAGAGTGTGTAAAATTTTGGTCTAGGCTGCACACCCAAGCATCGATTGAAACAGCCCACGGATCGTCCGATTGACAAAAACGGCAGAGCTTTTTGAGTTTTGATGGTGCCGACTTTGGCTTGGCTCAAGGTTGCCAATGGGAGTAAGACATTCAAAACCATGGAGTTGGAGACAATCGATGTTTCAAATTCAGCGGGCAAGAGCCAGAGTGGTACAACTGCAAGCGCGGTCAGGACCAGCTCATCATCAAGCTTGTTTATGTTCATGTGATTGTTGGGCCGTGATGTGCCCGCGCCGTATGAAAGAACTGTGAGCTTGAACTGATCCTTCAATGCTGCCATGCCGCTGGTTATGCCGGCGCAGCGGAAACCATACACAGTGGAGGAGGCAACATGCCGAAGGATGCATCATTTTTGTTGGATGGTGTGGCTCATGTGACATGTATCCAAGTTCAGAACTTCAGCGTGCCTTACGTGCTGTACGTTTTCCTGTCCCTGTCTAGCTCTGAATGCTGTGGTCAGGTCATCAAACATAATACGCCTTCATCTTTGTGGGTCATCATGAATCGAAAGGCAGGTCTGCTACCTGTTCGAGACAGTTCTGTCTTTTGTCCATGGCGAAGATGTTGTGTTGATGGAATTTCTCGGACAGGTCTATGATGTCACAGCTTTCCACAAGAAGCATCCCGGTGGACCAGGCAATGAACCGAAGAAAAGATGACAGCTTTGCAATGTGTCTTGATCGTGCCTGACTGTTGCGGCAGGCGTTCTGCTGCAGATGGGTGGGAAGGCCACTGGTTTTTGAAAGAATCAGGGCCCCTTGAAACACTTTGTTGCTTCAGGATGCGACTGCAGCTGCAGCGGCTGCGCACAAAAGCATTCTGCCCGCAAACTTGATGTGGGAGTTTTGCATCGGATACATCGTCAGGCCGTGCCTACCCTTGTGTGCCCACCGTTGCCTGCAGTCGCTTGTTTGCATCTTGATTCCGTTTGTTCATTTTAACTTCTTGGACAGGACAAAGCCGCAGGAGGAGGGGCAAGCTGATAACAAGCCGCCTGTACAGAAGAAGGCATGGTGACTTCTTTGTACCTACATCCGGAGGATGTTCAAATGCCCGTGCCCCGGAGGCTCCATCTCCTGCGAAAGAGCCATCGCCTCGCTCACATGTTGCAGCCTGGACCATGTTAGTTCCCAAACGCCTAAAGTCCCCAAAACTTGCAGTTTAAGCGCGATTTCTTGTTGTGCACTGCGTCGGTGCCCAGCCAACGAGAGCTCCGCATGGTCTCAGGAGAAGGCGAAGAGTGAGGTCAAAAGCCACTGGGTTGAGTTAGAGTTCAGTGTCCACCACATGTTGGGTGCAAGATGCACTTTCTGGATAGTCTGACGAACGATTCGGAGATCCACAGGTGTGACTTCATCAGCTCCGCTGGATGGCCTTAGCATTCTGCTTGGAATCAGAAGTGCTAATATGCGCTCATGATGGTTATTCAAACCACATGGAAACCACGCCCTCGTTTGTGCTTTTCGTTCTGAGGCGACGTGACAGATGCAGACAGTCCACTTGCCAAAGCGAGGGCGAAGGCACATTGGATCAGTGGAATAGACTTGCTTTCCTCTTTGAGCCGCGACTGCCTTTTGACAGAACAAGCGCCGCTCTCCGCCATCCTTCTTGGCAGACGTTGCAACTTTGTGGCAAGTGCGCTTTTGTGAGAAACGTGCTCTTGGTGCAGTTCTTGAGCGAAGAGAGGAGATGTTAGGAAGCGAAAGCAACAAAAACGAAGAGCGAAACGAAACGAAGGGTGTTTTGCTTCGTTAACTTAACAGTCTACACACGTTCCCAGGAGCGGATGCTGACAAGGCCAGTCATGCCCACCAAGTGCCAGGCCAGTGCTGAGACTTCGCAGCTTCGGGCCGCTTGTTGCTTGTATCACTTGTTTCTCTCACCTTTTTGATAGGCATCTTGTGTTCGCCAGGACATGAACCTGCAGCATCAGAAGCAGAAGCCCACCAGCAATGCCCAGGCCCGTGCTTGAGGAGCCAAAGCCCAGCAAGTGCAGCTGTGGAACTTTTCATCACGCTGACCATCCAGCTCGTGCTCTCAGGCTCAGGCTGAGAGAGGTGCAGAAGAGGGGTCCAGCCCCGAAGCGGCTGCCACTGGTCGGATGGAGTAATGCTTTCTTGGACACCGTTTCTTGTGGAGACCCCTTTGAAAGTCTTGGGCTTGGTGTCATACATCCCGTGAAGTTGAAAAGACCCTGGAAATACATCCCACCTGTCAGTCTTGTCCTTGTTTCGTTCACACAATTCATTTGGTTCATGCGTTCACTCCTTTCTCTCGTTCACTTATAACCGCATGGCTTGTGCTCTGTGGATCTCCACAAGACGTGGGAGGGGAATGCCTTAAACCCGAACCGCGGCCGCTCTTTCGAAGTTGCGTAACATCCAGCAGAAGGTCGATTGGTAAATATCAGAACGTCACAGGATACACCTTGCCTGTGACGCACAGAGCAAAGCGAGAAAGTTCGAAACCGAAGAGAACAAGGACCACGCCAGAGGCTTTCGGACACCAACGATCCTTTACAATTATTTGCTGCGTCTCTCTCGAAACCTGGAGATCCCAGATCGGGAACTTGAAGGGATGTGCTAAGGAGGTTTTGTCGCCGTCCATGCATGTTTGCCTGCTGGCATATCTTGGGCTATTGTGCTGTGTGTGATGTGTGGAGAGTGAGCCTTAAATTTTCACAGAGCGATGAACCAAGGCGGCCGAATCCCCGGACATGAAGCCCGAGAGGTCCTTCACAACCATCATGGAGGAGGTGGATTGTTCCTTTGCGTGGGCACTTGGGGCTCGCTTGACATTCTGTATATACTTTGTGCCCTGATAGATGGAGTCGGACATCATGCCAATGTCGGATGTCGATGCCGTCACAGCTCCTGAGCCATCTTCTCAGCATCAGCGCTCGCAGCCAGCCAGGAATTGCTGTAGCTGCAGATGCCTTGATTCACTCAGGCCTCCGCCGTCTGGGGGGCTTCTTTGCTTCTTCAGCTCCACCGCTTGTTGGAGCGGCGCTCCTTGCAAAGAAGTGTAAAGATGCAGAGATGTTGAAGTCGGTGCTTATATCCTGGCCAGGTCGGCCCTCGGTGGTGCAGCAAGTCGCGCATGATGACAAGGCTGTTGCGGATGGCTTTGGGTAAAGTGCTTCGTTCCAAATCGCAGCACAGGGTCCTAGCCTTTTGAGCCCTGTGGCTATACTACATTTGCGATGAGCCCAATACGAGCGACAGCGATCATAAACAGCACGATCACAAACACGTCCCTCCCATCTCTGTCTCTGTTTCTGTATGTTCTGTTTGTTACTTTCTCTCTTTCTTTCTTTCTCTCGTTCTTTCTTTCTCTCTGTCTCTCTGTCTCTTTGTGCATGTGTCTGTCTGTCTCTCTTTATCTCTCTATCTCTTGCTCTCTTTTCTCTTTGTCCCTGTCTCTCTCTTTCTCTCACTCCTCTCTGTTTCTTTGTTTTCTTGCTCTCCTCTCTCTCTCTCTCTCCCTCTTTCTTTCTCTCTCTCTCTCTCTGTCTCTCACTCTCTCTCTCTCTCTCTCTCTCTGTCTTTCTGTCTTGATGTCGTTCTGTCTTTCTGTCTTTCTGCATGTCACACTGCAGGCATAATCGCATCCAGCGGCATTGACTAAGCACAATCTAAGGCGCGTGGTCGAAGCCTCTTGCCCCTCAGGGTCCTACTTCAAGCCGCACACGACACCGAGCATAAACAACACTGTCGCAATTTCCGCTCGGGCGTCCAAAAACCAGACAGATCCAACATTCCGCATGCTGCAACTGAGGCTTGCTCTCGATGTTGTTTGGCCTATACCCTATTGTCAGACCCTGTCTGCGACTCCCTAAAGTTACCCGATCAAGTTTTCAGGGTCGTTTGTGGTTTGAGGTAGGCGAGCCTCAATGGAGGTAGAGGTGGACGACGACTCCTGGACACCGCCATTGCCAAGAAATCGCTCCGCGTGTGTGTGTGTGCGCGCGTGTGTCAATCTCTCTCTTTCTCTGTGTCTCCTTCTCTCTAAAACGAAGATGATGCCGGCGAAGACCGCAAACAGTAAGATCGTAGAGAAACGGACAACGTGAAACAACAATGCGACATAAGCTTTGACAGGCGTTTAGGGTTACCCTAAATTTCAGTGCGGGCCCCCAGTAGGTGAGTCATGCAGCACCATAAGTCAGAAGTCAGAACCCAAAGGCATAGACATGATTCATGCTTTTCTTGGCCCGAATAAAAGGATCAAGCACAAAAACATCCTATGTTTTCCTAACGTTTGCATTTTCAGAACACTGAAGAAGTAAAAACATATCCCTTTGAGGTTTGTCGTATGTCCCCTCGCTTCGTGCTTGTAAGGATTGGTGAGGGCCCTAATAGTTTGTCGCATGTCCCCTCCCTTCGTGCTCGTAGGGTGAGGGCCCCTCTAGGCCTGAAAGCCCTAGAACCCGGGCACGCTTTCTCGATATTTTCCATGGTCGGCGCTTGTGTCTTTGCCGCCCAGGTCCGCGCGCGTTATTTACCCAACCCTGCTTGCTCTGCGAAAAGGTTCTAGAACATGTTGAAACACTGCAAGCGCGAGCTATTTGGTCGCTGGCCCAGCTATTTGACCGTACTCACATAGCGCCCAAGGCTTGGGGATCGAGCGTTTTCAACTAGCATCCTGCTTTTGGGGACCGAGCGTGCTCAAATAGCACCCCAGTTTTGGGGACCCAGCGTGTTGAACTAGCACAGGACCGAGCGTACTCAAACAGCACCCAAGTTTTGGGGACCCAGCGTGTTCAACTGCATCCCGGTTTTGGGGGAGCTTACTTCAATAGCACCCAAGGTTTGGGGACCAAGCGTGTTCAACTAGCATCCTGCCTTTTTTGGGACCGAGCGTGCTCAAATAGCACCCAAGTTTTGGGGACCGCGATTTCAGAACACTGTAGAAGTAAAAACGTAGTATGTCCCCTGCCTTTGTTCTCATACGGTTTGGTGAGGGCCCTCGAAGTTTGTCGTATGTGCCCTCCCTTCGCGCCGGTAGGGCGATGTCGTAAGCAACTAGCACCCCTTCTGCGCCTTGATGACCAAATGGCTCGCACCATGGCACGGGCTGTTTGGTCGCAGGAGAAATATCTACGGTGTTTTAACACGTTCAAACACGTTTTCAGGGCTAGTGTTCTGCGCCCAAAAGCCTGTGCTGGTAGTGTAATCGTGGCCCATTGCATTTTAAATCGGTTCCAAAAGCCCGTGCTGATAACGTAATCGTGTCCCCATAACTCGCCTGCACTTTAAAACGGTTGTATCAACCTCTAGGGTCCCCCTCCCTACAAGCATGAAGGAACATGCGACAAACTGCTAGGGCCCTCACCAAACTCTGGCACGAAGGGAGGGGGCATACGACAAACCTCTAAGGGATATGTTGTTAGTTCTTCAGTGTTCTGAAAGTGCAAATGCTAGAGAGAAACATAGGATGTTTTTGCGCTTGCACACCCTGTGGAGCCGCGATTGCATTAACAGCACACAAGGGATAAACATCTCTGTTTACATAAACCGCTTTTTTTGAGGCTGTGAAGCCTTGTCGCAGAGCTAGAAGAGTTGGGGAAAAGCTTGCTTGCTCTGCGAAACGGTTCTATACAAGCGCAAAAACATCCTCCTAACGTTTGAACTTTCAGAACACTGTAGAAGTGAAGACTTTGTTGTATGTCCCCTGGCTTCGTGCTCGTCAGGCTTGGTGGGCCCTAGAAGTTTCTCGCATGTCCCCTCCCTCCGGTTCGTGGGGTGAGGGAGCCTAGAGGTTAGGCCTGCAAGCTCTAGAACCATGCTTGAAGGGCCCAGCGTGCGAGGTTTGAAGGTTTCAAAGAGGCGTCTTGGTCCTTGCGTGTGCGAAAAGACTGAGCGTGTTCAACTAGCATCCTGCTTTTTGGGGATCGAGCGTACTCAAATAGCATCCAAGTCTTGGGGACCGAGCGTGTTCAACTAGCATCCTGCTTTCGGGGGAGTTTACTCCTATAGCACCCAAGTTTTGGGGACCGAGCGTGTTGAACTAGCATCCTTCTTTGCGAGACCGAGCGTACTCAAGCAACCCAAGTTTTGGGGACCGAGCGTGTTCAACTGGCATCCTGACTTTGGGGGAGCTTACTTCAATAGCACCCAAGGTTTGGGGACCAAGCGTGTTCAACTAGCATCCTGCCTTTTTTGGGACCGAGCGTGCTCAAATTAGCACCCAAGTTTTGGGCACCGCGATTTCAGAACACTGTAGAAGTAAAAACGTTTCCCTTCGAGGTTTGTCGTATGTCCCCTACCTTTATTCTCGTACGGTTTGGTGAGGGCCCTCGAGGTTTGTTGTATGCGCCCTCCCTTCGCGCCGGTAGGGCGATAAGCAACTAGAACCCCTTCTGCGCCCTGATGACCAAATGGCTCGCGCCATGGCACGTGCTGTTTGGTCGCAGGGGAAACATCTACGGTGTTTTAACACGTTCAAACACGTTTTCAGGGCTAGTGTTCTGCGCCCAAAAGCCTGTGCTGGTAGCGTAATCGTGGCCCCATGGCCAGCCTGCGTTTTAAATCGGTTCCAAAAGCCTGTGCTGGTAACGTAATCGATAGCCCGGCTGCCTTCTAGCACGAAGCGAGGGGACATACGACAAACCTCTAAGGGATACGCTTTTACTTCTTCAGTGTTCTGAAAGTGCAAACGTTGGGAACAACATACGATGTTTTTGCGCTTGCACACCCTATGGAGCCACGATGACATTAACAGCACGCAAGGGATAAACCTCTCTGTTTGCATAAGCCGCTTTTTTGGGGGCTGTGAAACCTTTTTCGCAGAGCTAGAAGCGTTGGGTGAAAACCCTGCTTGCTTGCGAGAAGGTTCTCTACAAGCGCAAAAAGCATCCTATGTTCTTCGTTCGTTTGTACTTTCAGAACACTGTAGGAGTAACAACATATCCCTTAGAGGTTTGTCGCAGAGGGCCCGAGCAGTTTGTCGCATGTCCCTTCCTTTCATGCTCGTAGGGTGAAGGCCCTTAGAGGTTAAGCCTGGAAACCCTAGAACCAGAACGTGCTTGAAGGGCCCAGCGTGCGAGGTTTGAAGGTTTCAGAGAGACGTCTTGGTTGGTCCTTGTGTGTGCGAAAAGACTGAGTGTGTTCAACTAGCATCCTGCTTTTGGGGACCGAGCGTACTCAAGTTGCACCCAAGTTTGGCGACCGAGCGTGTTGAGCGAGCATTCTGCTTTGCGGGACCGAGCGTACTCAAGTTTTGTGGACCGCGCGTGTTCCACTAGCATCCTGCTTTTTCGGGGCCGAGCGTACTTAAACAGCACCCAAGCTTTGGGATCAGAACGCTGTAGAAGTAAGAATGTCCCTCCCTTTGTGCTCGTAGGTTTTGGTGAGGGCCCTAGGAGTTTGTCGCACGTCCCCTCTCTTCGCGCTCCACCCCATCTGCGCCCTGATGACCAAATAGCTCGCGCCATGACGAAAGCTGTTTGGTCGCAGGGGAAGCATCCATGGTGCTTCAACACGGTCAAACACGGGTTTCAAGTTGGGTTTCCGGGTTTGAAGTTGGGCCACGTTGGCCGGGTCCGGGTTTCAAGTTGGGGGGTTTCAAGTTGGCCTCAGCGGGCATGTTAGGCGGATCCGGGTTTCAAGTTGGGCTCATCAGGGCATGTTGGCCTGGGTTTCGGGTTGGGCTCGACAGGGGCATGTTGGCCGGATGCGGACCGTGGGAGACCCAAACCGCGTGACACCCACCCGGCTTCAATTGCGCTAATGATCGGAGACCATGGGACCACGGACCCAACCACGTGACACCAATCTAGCCAAGCGCGTGACACCTTTGTTTCCGAGGAGAGGACCCCAACGGTTCCTGTTTGGGGAAAAACGAAGAATATCTAAGATTCCAAAAGCGACGACAGTTACAAGGTTGCGGATCTCCATACGTCAGGATTTTGCGAGACCTAGATGCGAACCAGCTGGCGCTGTCAGAACCCCCAGCTGGGCCAAGCAACGGCATCGGCATTGGGAAGGCAAACCTCAATGAATAGAGTGAATAGAGTCTTGCCCATTTGCACGCCCTCAGCTTCACCGGCAGGCTGTTTAGGGTTTAGAGCCTTAGAGATGGTGTGGCTGAACGTGTTCCTGTCCTCCCCCGAACGCAGCACCGAGTGATACGGTTTTTGGGCATGGGAACTGCCCGATGAAGTGTTCACGGTCGTGTCGAATAGTTGCACTTGCTGTTGCAACGGATCTTACGAATGGGTCAGCAAGCCCACGTTGCTATTTGAGGAAGCAGTCTGCTGTGCATCAACGTATGTGTTAAAGAGTGGCAAGCACGCTGAGCGCAGGTGACGGGAGACTGGTCTTTGTCATAGTCTGGCGACGCTCTGAGATCTCAGCCCCACATCAAGATCCATCGGTCAGTCAATTTCTCCCTTGCGCAAGTTGTGCCTAGGCGGGATGCATCAAGCTGCAGCCTTTTTTAAACGTGTCCTTGCTGCGTGGCAAAGTGAGGTCTTAAGACCTCCGGGGTTCAGATTGTTTTCAGGCTTCCAGGCGCCTAATCAGGCGCTTCTGCGAGAGCCATGTTCCGCAAGACACTCCTCTTCAAACATAACGGTGCGAAAGCATGTCTTGCTAAATCTTGCTCGCTCCGGATGATTAATCAACATCTCAAGGTCTAAGCACACTGTCTCACCTGCACTCACGAGATGTGAATCCCTGCTCACATTTCAGGTGTTCTTGTACAGGTTGGGAAGCAATCAGGAATAGAGTTGAATAGAGTTCAGATGAGGTATGAGCAGAAGATCACATGGTCACCCCGTGTCCGCCGTATTCACGGTAGTTGCTCGCTTCAGGACAGCCCGGAGGGCTTTGCTGCTTCAGAGCCTGGAGCCGCTCGGAGTGCAGATGTTACAAAACGCCTTCGGTACACGGACACCTGACTTTATTCCCCCTTTATTCCCCTTGTGCATGGCATGCTAGCCATGAGGTACTAGTGACGGTGCAACAGGGGCACGAGAGCCAACTTGCGCTACCCTGTGCTGTCTCGCGCTGCTTTCATCGGTTACAAGCTGCCAGGGTCAAGAATTGGCATAGGAGGCCCAGTGCGGCCAGTGAAGCAGTCTGTAATTTGGCCTTGTACGCCGGAACTGACACACATAGTTGCTAGAAGCAAGATACCAGACACGCTGCACATACTATGGAAACAGAATTGCTGACCTTAGCTTGCCGCTGTTCAGCCGTCTCATTCAACATGGACAACGTATCAGTGCTATGCAGACTTGTTTGGTGTCGGGAAGCACAAGCTGTGACATACATGGCCTTGTGGATGTCAAGTGCAACTTCGACGCCCGGAGCTTGGCTTGGTCTGACGTCGCCAAATGTGCTTCCCAGCAAGATCTCTGTCCCTTCTTGTGCGAGGCGGTAGCATGCCCAAGGCAGGAAATGGTATGCACGATGTAACATGTGTTCACGTAGTCGATGACCTCCATGCTGACATGAGGTGGTCACATCAAGGCGCCTCCCTGTGTATACCAACAAGGGCCAGAAGGAGGACGACAGTTTCAATGCCTTTCACTGCAAGAGGTGGGCTTGCCTCATCTGATCCTTTCCACCGCAACTGAAGTCTCCTGCCAACGTGCAAGATATCTCCTCAAGTGTGGATTGTTGGTTCTGTCCCCACAGATGGAGATTGCATAGGGCTGTGCAAAACAAACCGCAACTGAATCGTGCAATACGGTGCGCTGCCTACAAAACCCTTGCGCTCAAACTTGGTTGCCTCGGACCAGAAACTCTGAACCAGCATGGCAAGCAGCAAAGGGCTCCCTTCCCAACTCTGCAACATTCAAATCCTTGCAGTTAGGCTTTGACAGGGTGGGGATGTTCGATTTGGAAAGGTTTTGGATCCCGGACCAACCCTTGGCCTGTTTCTCGTTCCATGCCAAACTTCAAACACACCGGGAACACTGGGAACACGGGGAACACATGGGAGGCTGAAAGCACGACCACAACATCCAAGGTTTGGGCTAGAGTTGCAATGTGCTGCCATTGGCTGCTTGCAGAGAAGCCCGCTTCCGACCTTCCGTGAAATTGAGAATGTGCGCACTGGTCCATGAACCCTAAAAGCCCTAAGCCCTGGGTGCGCTTTCGGCCCGCCCGATTCAAGACTTCGAAAAGACGTCCGTCGACAGGTGCCGCACACACCTGCTGACAACGGATGCAGATCTGGCGAACATCCCTCGAAGAAGGTGGGATGGGTGGGTGCAGGGAGTGAAAAGGTGCACCGGGTTGTGAGGCGCGACTTGTCGGCATTGAGAGCAAGGGGTCGGCACATTCATTGAAGAGCTGGCGAGCTGAACAGTCGTGACATATCTTTAGCAGCTCTAGCATGTGTTCCGTGATTACGTACCTCGGACCTGATTGACATAGAGATTCAGAGCCCTTTCGGCGGGCGATGGGCTTTCAGCTCCAGGGGAGGAGTGATCATGTCCCCCTCTGGATGCTCGTATGACTCGTATGATGCTCCTGTAGAACCCAAAATCTTCAGCCAAGCAGGGCACAGTGGTGAAAAAAATGCATTGTGTTCAATAAACACTGCCTCAATGGCTCAAAAAAACAATAAGACGTGTCATTGAAGTTGAGGTTGTTGTTGTTGTTCAGGTAGCAGGGGCTGCAGGCCTGAGTTCGGCGTCACAGTAGCTTTGAGTTTGTGACTGTTTTTCTTAGGGTGTCAGGGTTGACAGTCATGATATTTGCATCTTAACAACCCTAAACCCTGGGGCTCCTAACTCTCACCCAAAACCATACTTCGCGGGGTGTGAGCGAGTGGGCGGCCACAAGCTCTCACCCGGCCTTCGGGAACGCCATCTCCGAGATACAGCTGTTGCTTTCTAGATGGTGGGTTTGTCTTGGGTTTCTCAGACAGAGGGTCTCAGGAGAAGGAACCAAAGCTAGTGATGGGTGCGGGCATGGGGGTTTAGGCCTCAACCTTAACCCTAAGCTCTACATCCCAAGCCTTAAAAGCCCGAAGCCTTGAACCACTAGTCCCCTCAGCCCTCAAACCCTAAAGCTAGAACCCAGACTCTTGACGTTTTGATCGGGTTCATGGGCTTGGGCTTAGGGCTGAAACCGAACTGCAAGCCTCTAGGATTCACTTTAAACCTTGGGTCCTCAACCCAAAACTAGACCCCAAACCCTTAACCCTGAAGGTTTGCCAAACCCAAGAGGTTTAAATCGTAAACCTCAAAGCCTTATGCTGGCCTTGAACCCCAAGCCCCAATAACTAGACCCTAAACCCTTACCGCTAGAGGTTTGACCTAAACCCAAGAGTTTATACAGGGCTTAAGGGTCTAGGGTCTAGGGTTTTGGGGTCTAGAGTGGAGACTTTTGGCAGGCTCTAACCTTTAGGCTTTGGGGTGCTTCCTGGACCCTTCAGCGAAGCTCTGTCTTGGTGCCGACATCTGCGACTTCGGCGTCTCCACAGATGGGGGTTCAGGCACATCACACATGGGCACTGAACAGGTGCCCTAAACTTAAACACTGCGTGGGTTGGGGGTTTAGCCCTAAGCCTCAAACCTCTTAGGTCTAAAGCCCTCAAACCCTATCCCATAAAGCCTCCGCCAACGGTTGGCGCTCGACTATTGTGGGCTACCCCCCCCCCCCCGCTCTAGCCCACAAAACTACAGCCGCAGGAAATGTTGCCACATGTCTTGGCCTATGCATGTGCTCTCAAGCTTTTGTGGGAACATTTGCTGGCCCTAGAGTTTTGCGGGCCAGAGAGGGTGCATCACGCAATACTTCTGGGCCACATGCCAAGCTTGATGTTTGTGGGCCTTGGCCCCTCATTTGAGTACTGCTGGTGAAGTTTGGGGATCAGTGGCAAAGACCCTGCCACAAAAAACCATATGACTTGGTCATTAAGATATAGGAACACCAAATGGCTCTGTGACAAAAACTCCCAGGGTGACCGACTCGTGTCATTAAAGTTTTGTGGGCTGAGGGGGTAGTAGCGCGCAAGACTTTAATGACTGCGCTGCGCACAATTCCATGTCACTCTTTGCTTTTGAACCTTGCCCTTTGAAACGTTGCAAGGCATCGCCTTGTAGGCCTGGCGAAGACACAAAGTCCAGAAGTTAATCTGGCTGGAAATTCCGGAAGGCCAGTGTGTGCGAAGCCAGCTTGCGGGCGGCTTTAGGGCTTTTTATGGACACCCGAAATCTATTTTGCCAGGGGGGTTGGTTTTCACGTCCAAAATTCAATGAATTGTTGACGCCAAAATGGGAAGGAGGGGTTGCGGGGATTTGGGGGGGGGGGGGGGGTTCAGGCCAAAACTCCTAGAAGCGGACGAGACCGTGACAGCCCAAAACCCTAGAAGCGGACGAAACCGTGACTGCCCAAAACGTGTAGAATCGGACGAGACTGTGACAACCCAAAACCCGTAGAAGCTGACGAGACCGTGACAACCCAAAACCCGTAGAAGCGGACGAGAGGGGGGTTGGCGCGGGGAAATCCATTGAACCGCTTCGGGTTTAGGGTTTAAGTTTTAAGCAGCTTGAGGCACGTAAGAGAGCCCTTCGGCAAAAGGGCTTCGGGCTTAGGCTTTAGGGCAGGGCAGCAGCAGCCAAGAACCCCCAAAATCCGTTAGAACAGTTGGCGGAGGCTTTATGGGATAGGGTTTGAGGGCTTTAGGACTAAGAGGTTTGAGGCTTAGGGCTAAACCCCCAACCCACGCAGTGTTTAAGTTTAGGGCACCTGTTCAGTGCCCATGTGTGATGTGCCTGAACCCCCATCTGTGGAGACGCCGAAGTCGCAGATGTCGGCACCAAGACAGAGCTTCGCTGAAGGGTCCAGGAAGCACCCCAAAGCCTAAAGGTTAGAGCCTGCCAAAAGTCTCCACTCTAGACCCCAAAACCCTAGACCCTGGACCCTTAAGCCCTGTATAAACTCTTGGGTTTAGGTCAAACCTCTAGCGGTAAGGGTTTAGGGTCTAGTTTTTGGGGCTTGGGGTTCAAGGCCAGCATAAGGTTTTGAGGTTTACGATTTAAACCTCTTGGGTTTGGCAAACCTTCAGGGTTAAGGGTTTGGGGTCTAGTTTTGGGTTGAGGACCCAAGGTTTAAAGTGAATCCTAGAGGCTTGCAGTTCGGTTTCAGCCCTAAGCCCTAGCCCATGAACCCGATCAAAACGTCAAGAGTCTGGGTTCTAGCTTTAGGGTTTGAGGGCTGAGGGGACTAGTGGTTCAAGGCTTCGGGCTTTTAAGGCTTGGGATGTAGAGCTTAGGGTTAAGGTTGAGGCCTAAACCCCCATGCCCGCACCCATCACTAGCTTTGGTTCCTTCTCCTGAGACCCTCTGTCTGAGAAACCCAAGACAAACCCACCATCTAGAAAGCAACAGCTGTATCTCGGAGATGGCGTTCCCGAAGGCCGGGTGAGAGCTTGTGGCCGCCCACTCGCTCACACCCCGCGAAGTATGGTTTTGGGTGAGAGTTAGGAGCCCCTGTAGGCCTTCAGGGTTTAAACCCGAGACTGTCAACCCTGACACCCGAAGAAAAACAGCCACAATGTCAACTTCAATAACACGTTTTATTGCCTTTTTGAGCCATTGAGGCAGCGTTTCTTGAACACAATGTGTTTTTTCGCAACTGTGCCCTGCTTGGCTTAAGTTTTTGGGTTCTACAGGAGCATCATATGAGCATCCGGGGGAACAGAGAGCAAAACTGCAACCACCAATAGGCCACCATCAAACCACCACTTGCCACCAACAAGCCTTCATCTCTGAGCAGCCATTGAGAGTTTACAAAGTGTGATAGGTGTTAATGGCCCTTTCGTACACAATTGCACAACCCTCCTTCTCGACCTAGCGGACCTAGCGGGCATCGCGCCAGGACCGATGGTGCCATGGTCCTGGATGCCCGCCTCCAGGTTGAATCCCAGAGCGGAATCATTCAAGCTGCCACTGTAGGGCCTTTTTCTTGTCCAGTGCAGGTGATCAGCCTGTACACTGTCAAGCGTGATGTGGGGAACGTAGTGCTCGAAGTATTCCAAGTGCTCCCCAGGTGCTCATGTTTCGCATGTCCATCGCCACTCCCAGCCTCATGCAGCTCAGGGAAATCGTCTCATCCGTCGCGAAAAGGGGGCGGAGCGACAGCATCCCCGGCCGGTTTGTGCTCGGTCATTGGAGTCCGGCCTGTTGCAGTAAACAGAGGGGAGTGCGCTGTAAGGTACGTTCATGTGGCCCCCTGAGCTGATTTAGAGCTCTGGCGCACCCTGGCAGCCGTAAAGGTTCTCGCTGGTGAAAGATGTGAGGCTTGCCCATCCTGCGATCAAGACGTCGGATACACTTCCAAGCCCCACGATGCGAGCGGCTTGTGACAGAATGTGACTGAAACAGAAAAATCGAAATTGATACCAAAAATGCCTCTCCGGAAGACCGCACCATGACAGCGTGGAAGCTTCTCTCAAGGCTGACCTGGAGCTGGTGTACCTGTCCGACACAGCGGTAACAGTGCCATGGCACAGGACATCCACTTCTTACAAGGTTTTCCAAGGTGAGAGAGTTGAAGAATGCACTCCTGTGCCTGTGTCTTTGCAGGATGAAGTCTCCCTTCACTTGCAAGGCCCCTGCAGCACGAGAAAAAGGTTGCAGCTGTTAGCCTGCTGGCCTTGCGGCAGTCCTTGGCAATAGCACAATCCAGAGTGGAGCTGTTTTGGAAACAGCACGACCTGGGATCTTGTCATCATCTGCCGAAGGATTCGTACTTGCTTTGCACATTGAGGTATGTGGCTACATCTGCCAGAGCCAGGGACAGCTGGAGTTTCACAGGAGAGGTTTTGGCTCTGGGTGCCCAGAGGGAATGACTTTCCACTAACATTTGTTGCCTGTGATGTCTGTTCATCGGTGCAGGAAGCAGAGACAGCACACTGAAGAGATGGAAAAAGAGCAGGAGGCGTCCACACACGGCTTTGTGAGTGTGAGTGTGAGTGTGAGTGTGAGTGTGAGTGTGAGTGTGAGTGTGAGTGTGAGTGTGAGTGTGAGTGTGAGTGTATGTGTCCGTGTGTGAGTGTGTGAGTGTGTGAGTGTGTGAGTGTGTGAGTGTGTGAGTGTGTGAGTGTGTGAGTGTGAGAGTGAGAGTGAGTGTGTGAGTGAGAGTGAGAGTGAGTGAGTGAGTGTGAGAGTGAGAGTGAGAGTGAGAGTGAGTGAGTGAGTGAGTGAGTGAGTGTGTGTGTGTGTGTGTGTCTCTGTCTCTCTGTCTCTGTGTGTGTGTGTGTGTGTGTGTGTGTGTGTGTTGCAATGTCGTGTGCCTTCGATTTGCAAAAGCCACTGTCAGGCAGCCAATGAGCTGAAGCCTATCATTGTGGGCTAAATCTCTAGCGTCACAGGGTTTGCAGCCAGTTGAAGGTGAGAGCCGAGCACAGTAGCTTCAACGGCAAGACATTCTCCGTCGCAGTCAAGGGCCTTCACCACAAGCCAACATGGTCAGCACGCGCGCGGAGAAAGCTTCGACTTAGTTTTGCTGTGCCATCAATGTTCTCATAGCCTGACCAGGAGATTGCTTCACCCTTGAATCTCCACCATTTCCACACATACAAGGTGGCGTACTCTGGGATATGCATGCTGCCTGCATCAGTGGCAAGGGTGACGTGGCAGAAGCTCCACAGCCTTCAACGCCGCGCACGCTGGAGCTTGTGAAGCGTCGTTTTGATGGAAACTTTGCCGTCTCGGCTCGCAGTTTGGGGGCTCCGGCGCCCCAGGATACGCCCCAAGGGGTCCGGGCGAGGCAAGAAAAGGGTGACTCTTTGAGAGCTTTGCTTGGACATTTTCTAGAAGCAGCTACCACTGTTCTCCAGGCAGATGATAGATGCGCCCGTGGATATGGCTCCTTGCCTCTGCCTGAGATGTTACCGATGTGGCCCAAGGGGGCTCTGCTGCAAAAGCTCGGGGAGCAGCTCCGGCTCCGCTGCCTCAGTGCAAGATCAGCACAAAGACTCTTTCTGCGGCATTTTGCAAGGCTGCAATCAGCACCCTTGTGCCGCCAGTGGCCCCATGGGTGCTCGTATCCAAAGAAGGACTGCTCTTGTGTCTGATGGTCACACTGTGAATAGAAGAGTAGAGGCAAAGTCTGTTTACGTTGTCGGCGTAGCCAGGAGACATAACTCTCCTGGGTCCATTGGACTTGGACCCATCCTATAATCAAGCAGCCTGGCAGCATCCTTTTAACTTGGGCAGCCATCTCATGACTCCACACCTGCTCAGAGTGCCATCAGACTGTGCCCTTGATTGCCCCCTTGAACTGCTGTACGTCCTGTTGCGCGTCATCTCTGTCACACTCAGACATGTTTGAATGCCAGGCCCCGAGAATAACGTTGCGATCGCCAGACGCCAATTGAAAGGGTTTGGGCCGATGCGCTTTTCTCTTGCTGGCTTGGCTAGTTGATTGGGGCTGGGTCAAACACTGGAACATGACATCAGAGCGACCAACAACATGAGCGACAAACAGCCTGGGGGGTAGGCTTCCAGACTGCATAGTCCCGGGCCCTTGTGAAGGCTGGAAGTCCCTACAAAACACGAGGAAGGCCTGAGAACCGGGCTGAAGGCCTGTCACCTAGTCTACATAGGCCTTGAAAGCCTTAGAATGCAGAATAGCTTGGGGGGCTGTCCTTGTCTATTCTGCGATATGCATCTCCCAGCCCAAAGTAATGAATCGACTAGGGGAAGGTTTCAAGGCCTCGGAGCATACCGGGCATGTCGAGCATCCCCACGCAGTGCAATCATCCGAACACCTGCACGCAGTGACCATGGTGTCGCACTGCCACAGCATGCCTTCGTTTGGTGTCATGCAAGGCATGTCAAAGCAATATTGCGACCATATTTGTCCATAGTCATAGGAGGTGTGTTCGAAGAGCATCGTTCAGCACAGGAAGCTGTTTGGACAGACCTTAAAACAACTTTGTAGAAAGATCATTTTGCCTGTGCTTCGTTTGCTGAGGTCCGGTGTGAGGCTTTGGGACATCATCGTGAGGGACAGTGCAATCAGTTGTGTCTAAGCATATGAAATCAAGGGGTGGTTGTGCTTTGGGAATCGCAGGACTTGTACGGAGGGAATGCCCTCGTCTTGCAGACGCCCTCAGGGGGGAAGGTGGCGCCAGCTGCCCAGAGATGCAGACGAATGCAGACTGCCAGGAGCATGAAAAAGCGGATGAAATGGTAAGTCGTCCAGCATCGTTGTAAACATGGAGTAGTTCGATGGGGCATTGCAATAGTTATGAAGAACGTAGGTCAGTCGCATCAGCCGCGAAGGTTCACACCAGATGACGAGACCTTCTTCAACACGACCCTCTCAGTGCTGAGAGAGGCCAGGTCTTTTTCTGCACCGGGGAAGAGGCTTACCGAGAGCCCACGCAAGGGCCGCAAGGGGCTTGAGACCAAATACTTGGGAGGCACTCGGAGTCACAGTAGGGTGGTACCTTCAGAGATGTTATGCCATGTGAAGTTTGCTTGTGGGGTTGCCTGTGCGACTGGTTTTGGCAAGTGACGCGACATTTAGCAGGGTCTCCGCAACACTGTCCCACATCCTGCCCATTGTGTCCCCCATGATTTTCCCATCGTGTCCTCCCATACATGAATTTCCGGCCTTAAGCCCGTGTAAGCCGACCTTCTGAAGGGCATGACCACTTTGGATTCACTCCTCAACCGAGGATTGACACTTGCGATCCAGGCAGCAAATGACCTTGCAACCGCACCCTGCAGGTCAAATTAGGAGGCTCACTGGCAGTTTTCGACACGGCCGCATTCTCGGCCTACCTTTCTTTTCGGTTATGATTGCTTTGAGTTTGTTTGCATTGTAGGTTTTTGTTGCGCCGACTCTTCATTTCCTGTGCGCTGAGGTCAGCTTGGGCGGTAGGGTCTCGGTCTACTCGTCCACCACCCTGGGTGGCACACTCTCCGTGTGTTCACCTTGGGCTGTGTGTGTGTGTGTGTGTGTGTGTGTGTGTCACCTTTCGCCTAGTGCGTGGCGCCAGAAAGTAGTTTGATGCACTTGGTTTCTTTGCCTAGCGCAGCCAAACTGGCGACCAAGGTACAACCAAGTCAACTTTGGCAGTGTCCTCTCTGTTTTTGGTGCTTGGGCAGCATTCACCCGCAGCCTTGAAATCCATGCAGATCTGGTTCTGTACATGGAGCGAAGAAGAGCTTCCTGGGTTACGTTGCTCCTCTTGCACTGTTGCCTCCTTTTGCTGGCAGTGTATTTAACAGTTTATCCATGTGGATCTGCTGCGGTTGCAAAGGCCTAGAATTCTCCTTTGCGCGCGTGGGTTCTGGATAATCAATCTTGCCTTCCGAAGAGGTCACGACGGGCTTGAGCTGAGGTCACACCAACCTAGCCTCCACCGTCTCGGTCAGAGACCATGCCCTTGCCCCAGCACCGCGGAATTTCGAGAGATGCCACGAGTATGTGTTGACCAACAACTGCAAGCACAGCCCAAGAGAAACAACAGCCCTTCACGGCCCTTAACGTCTCAGAGCCTCGCAACAAGAAGACTCTGCAGAACAGTTGTCCCCTTTTGAGCGGCCCAGGTGCAGCTCGGTAGTTCGTTCAACGTCCAGGGCGATGCCATTTTCTTGGGCATGGCCCCAAGTGCTCGGGGAGTACTCGGGATTGGAGTGTTTAGGGTCGAATTCTTACTGCTTTCAACTTCCAAGTTGCTTGGCAGCTGAGGCGCCGTATTCTCCGTCCAAAACCACGCCAACTTCGGCAGTTCCATGAGCATCGCGTCCTTCGCACGTTCAGGCATGGATGGCCCTGTGAAGCAGCTGACGTTGCGGTGATGAGTTTGTCATTGTCAGGCTTTATGATATTTGTCTTCGGCGTGGCTTGTACTGGCAGCGCTTCGCTTGTAAAGGACGCTTGTGCGTTGAGAGGTTCCATTCACTCAACAATCCTCGAGCACAGGGGCTCCACAAATACAACTATTTCTGCAAAGATGTGCATCTTCTGCATGCTTCGCAGTGCTTGGCGCGCTTCGCGGCTAGTACTGCTATTGCTGGCCATTCGCTTGTTTGTTGTTGGTTGCAATAATACTACAGACCTGGGCTGACAATTGCTTGGAAGGACTTCACCCTCTCGGGCAGCTCCCTCTCAGTGGCGTGCTTCGCGCGCCTGGGGAGCTCGCTGTTGCTCTACGAGCAAGCGCGTGGGGTTCTTGATAGAGTGCTGCTGAAGTTTGCAATTCGTGAATGGTGAATGCTGAAAGCACGGTTTGAGACATTCAGAGACATTTCTCATCGTTGCTCTAAGGTCTCGGCCCAATGTTGCCGGCTCTAGATTTCACACACTTTGGCTTGTTGCCATTGGCACAGAGTCTTTCCAAGGCGGGCAGTGCCGCACTGACTTATGGCATCACCTGATCAGGTGTGTTGTTGGCAGCACCTGACCTTGTGGACTTTGGATTATCCTTGGTGCTGCGGACGTCTATCTGTTCAGGTGTCGTGATGTTTGCCTATGGCATGAGCTGCCTTGGCCCTGCAATGCTGGCACTCGAGCCTACGAGCTGCGGATCCGCTGTGTTTCTGCGCAGCTTTGTTTGGCTCGGCAGTGTGACGTCGGCTTACGGCATGGCATGCCTTGGAGCCTCATCACTCGTCCTGGACCTTGTGCATCCTGGCTTGCTGATGGTCCTGCACAGCCTCATCTGAGCTGATCTCACGCTGCTTCTGTACGGAATGTCGTGCCCTGGCAGCTTGCTGTCCGTATTGGACCATGCACACCTCGGAAGTGCCCTGCTTTTGCACAGCTCTGCATGCCTTGGTCTCACGACGCCTACCTACGGCAGCGTTCGTTTGGGCTCTGCCTTCCCTACTCTGGATTTCATTCATTTGGGGGCTTTGCTGCCGCTCAGGACGCATGGTCGGTTGGACTTTGCCACGTCTGCCTATGGGCTGTCTCGTTTGGGATCGGTAACGCCTGCTCTTGACCTTATCCATCCTGGCCCCACCACGCCACTTCACGGGTTCACCCGGTTAGGAGCCTTGACGCCTGCCTATGGTGTCGCGTGCACGGGGGCTGCGCCGCCGGCTTCGGATTCTGTGCATGCAGAGCTTCTGACGTTCCTGCGTGGACTTGTTCGGATGGGCCTGCTGGCATCAGTCTACGGAATGACCCGACCAGCAGCCCCTTTGTTTGCTTTGGACATGTTCATGCCGGGGTCTTCACTACTTGCACGCAGCTTCGTTCAAATGGGCTTTTCTGTGTCGGCCTACGGAATGAGCTGCCTGGGAGATTTGCTGGCCATCCTTGACGTGCTGCAAGTCGGTTTGCCTCTTGCCTTGCAGGGTTTCTCCAGGTTAGGGTCTTTGCCGCTTGCGTACGGCCTGGCGCAATCAGGCACCTCACTGCTCGTTTTGGACCACGTGTCTTCAGGTTCCTTGCTTTTCTTGCGAACGCACATCTGCCTCGGCCCTCCAATGGCTATCTTTGGAATGGCCTGCCTTGGCTTCGCCATGCTGGTGTATGACTACGTGGAGCCGGGCAGTGGCCCGTTCGTGACAAGCTTTGCTCGGCCGGGGTCGCCGCCTTCGGCCTACGGCATCTCGCGTCCGGGCACGTCACTGCCGGCCGTGGACTCTTTGGCGCCGGGTGCCTTTCTGCTGCCTCGCAGTCTCGCCTGCTTGGACCTTTTTCTGCTGACCTACGGTGTGTCATGGCTGGGTCTGTTGCTGCTGGTCCTGAATTCTGCCAGTTTGGGTGTTTTGATGCCTACAAGGACCTTTTGCTACATCGGGCCCACCCCATCGCTTTACGGGCTTGGCTGCATCGGTTCTTTGCCACTTGCCTTGGACCTTGTCCAAGTCGGCCCATCACTCCTTGCGAGAAGTCTTGCGCAGACGGATGCGTTGTTACCTATGTTCGGCCTGGTGCACCTGGGTCTGCCATTGCCGGCTTCGGATTTTGTGAGCTTAGGTCCGCTGCTGCCGACAAGAACCTTCGTTTGTTTGGGGTCTTTGCTGCTTCCGAGCGGTTCGGCTCGGCCTGGATCGCCTTCGCTTGTGTTGGACCTCATTCACCTTGGCCCTTTCTCACTGCTTCAGGGCTCTGCTTGATCAGGTTCCCTGCTGCTCGTTTATGGCGTAGCTTGCTTGGGTGTTTTGCCATCAGCTCTTGACCCTGTGACTTGTGCGTCGTCCCTGCTTGCTCGGGGCTTTGTTTGCTTGGGTCTGCCATTGTCCGCATACGGCGTCAGTCGATCAGGACTCTCGCTGTTGGCTGCCGATCTCGTGAACATGGGCAGTCCTCTGTCCTTGCGCACCTCCAGCTGGCCTGGTTTTGTGCCACTGCTATACGGGATGATGCGGTTGGGATCCACCCTTTTTCTGCCAGACCCCGCGCACACTGGCCTTGCATTTTCTCCGAGAAGCTTCGCTCGGCTGGGGCCGATGGCTTCGCTCTATGGCGTGGCCAGGATGGGGTCGACAACGCTGTCGTTGGACTTTGCCACCTCCGGCTTTCCACCCCCGATGCGAAGCTCCCTGCGAACTGGAGTCGTGCTGCTGGCCTATGGTATGACCTGTCCAGAGCCTCCTCTGCTTGTCCTCGACTTTGCTCATTCGGGTAGCTCCGTACTCTCCCAAGCATGCCTGCGCATTGGCCCCACGCCTCCCGCGTATGGCATGTCACGACCTGGATTGCCACCGCCGGTCTTGGACTGTATCCACACCGGGTCGTCCCTGCTTATCCAAAGCCCCATGCAGATTGGGCTGATCCCGTTGGCCTTTGGAGTCTGCCGGATGGGATTGCTTCTGCCCACACTGGACTTTATAAAGGTGGGCAGCGTTATGCCTTTGCGCATGCTTGCCCGGCTGGATTTGGCGCTGTTGGCCTACGGGATGTCCTGGCTTGGCTTGCCACCATTTGCACTGGACTTTATCACGCCGGGCTTTCCCACGCTGCTGCGAAGTTCTTCACGACTTGGATTGACCGTGTTCCTTTACGGTGTGGCAAAGCTGGGCTTCTCAATGCCAGTGCTTGATTCTGTGAGTTCTGGAAGCTTGTTGCCACCGAGGTCTTCTGCAAGGATGGGCCTCACCATGCCGGCGTACGGCATGAGCAGAACGGGATTCTTCCTGGCTGCACCAGACTCTGTGCTCATGGGCCCCGCGCCATCCTCACACGGGCCTGCATGACTGGATCCAACGATGCTAGTGTACGGACTGAGCTGGCCAGGCCCTTTCATGTCAGCCTCGGACTTCATTCACCTTGAGCCCCTGATAGCCCTTCAAGGTTTTGCTTGCTTAGGACCCACAATGCTTGCATCCGGGCTAAGCCAGTTGGGGTCTCCACTGCTTGTTCTAGACCCTATCCAGATTGGCGTCTCTCCTGCACTTCGGTCGCTTTGCCAGGCGGGCTCGCTACTGTCAGTGTTTGGCATTTCCCGTCTCGAGTTTTCACCTTCTGTGATGGATCCTGTTTCGACGGGCTCAGCTTTGGCATTGCGCGGGCTAGCTTATTCTGACCCTCCTGTCCCGACTTATGGCATCACTAGACCCGGAGCTTTCCTACTTGTGCTGGATTGTCTACATCCTGGATTTGTGTCGTCCTTGCAGTCTTCCACTAGGACGGGTTTGACCATGCTTGTGTATGGCATGGCTCGGCTCGGCTTCCCGCCAGCAGCACTCGATCATCTGAGCGCAGGACTCACCCTCTTGGTGCAGGCTTTTGTTCGATCAGGCTTCGCGTTGTCGCCCTATGGCATGACCAGACCTGGTGCTCTGTCGTCGGCCTCGGACTTTGTTCACATCGACCTGTCTGCCCTGCTCCAGGCGCTTTCCAGGTTGGGCTCTGCCACGTCTCCCTATGGCATGCAGTGGCTGGGTCCAAGTCTGCCTGTGCCCGACCATTCGACCTTTGGCTTCGTGCTGTTCTTGCAAGCCTCCAGCCACATGGAAAGTTTCTTGTCAGCCTATGGCATGGCTAGGATGGGCTCCACGCCTTCAGCTCTGGACCATGTCCTTCCTGATCCTTCCCTCTTGCCACGAAGCTTCGTTTGCCCTGAGCTTATCGTGTTGGTGTACGGGGTCGCTCGCCTGGGCTTGGCCTTTCCGGTGCTTGATCTTGTTGACATCGGCTTCTTCTTGCTGATACAGGGCTTCATGCAAGTTGGCTTCGCGGTGCCGGCCTATGGCATGTCCTGCCTGGGAAGCTCCCTGCTGGTCTTGGACTTTGTTCACCCGGACGTTTTTCTGTTCGCTCACGGTCTCGTTCGTCCCGGTAGCCCATTACCCGTCTACGGGCTGACTAGACTGGAGCCTTTCCTGTTGGTGTCGGACTTTGTCCACATGGGCCTGATGCCGCTGCCACGGTCGCACTGCCAACTTGGCCCCAGCTCACCGACCTACGGCATGGTCTGATTGGGCTCTTCGCTGCTGGCAGCAGACTCTGCCCACCTTGGTTCAACGCCTCTGCCACGGGGCCCTGGCCAACCGGGCCCAGCGCTCCTGATCTCTGGAATGACAAGGCCCGGGGTGTCCTTGTTACCTCTGGACTTCGGTACCATGGGCCTCATGTTTTTATTGCAAAGCATGTTCTGCCTTGGGTTCACTATGCTTGTGTACGGTATGACCTGCTCGGGACTCACCTTACTTGCGCTAGACTTCCTGCACTTGGACTTGGCACCGCTGCCGCAGACGCACTGTCAGATAGGGTTGATGCTGCCAGCATATGGATTGACCAAGCTCGAGACACCACTGCTGGTCCTTGACCATGTGAGTCTTGAGCCGCCAACGTCACTCCGACACTTTGTTCGCTCGGGGTCAACTGCATTGACTTATGGAACTGCGCGAATTGGACTTACTGCCTTGGCCTTGGACTTCATGCACTCTGAGCCGTCGCTGTCAATTCGAGGCCTCCAGAGGATTGAGGCAGCAATGCCTGCGTATGGGATGTCGTGTCCCGGCAGCACGCCACCAGTGTTGGACCACATCCATTTGGGTTCATCCCTGTCTCCTCGAAGCTTCATCTGGCTCGGAAGTTCCATGCCAGTGTATGGAATGGCCTGCTTGGAAGCGCTCTTGTTGGTGCTGGATCACTTTGCTTTGGGCAGCATGTTGCCTGCACGGACCATGTCACGACCGGGCTTCACGCCCTTCGCATATGGATTTGCGTGCACAGGATTCCCTTTACCTGTGCTGGATCCCGTCACGATTGGCTTGGCCTCCTCTCTAAGGGGCCTTGCTCGCCTGGACTCGCCCATGTTCATATACGGCATGTGTGTGGTCACTGAAGGCTTTCGGACAAGAGGCTATGCCGAGTTTTGCAGCTCGTACTCCGTGAGAAGTTTTGCTCGTCTGGGCCTGCCTTCGTTTGCATATGGGCTGTCGTGGCCTGACTTGTCTCTTCCAACCCTGGATCTTGTACAGATTGAATCCGTCCTATCCTTGAGGGGCTTTTCGTGGTCAGGAGCTTCGCTTCCTGTGTTTGGACTAGCTTGCCTCGGGTCGCCGCCCCCAATTTTGGACTTCGTGTGCCTGGAGTCCTTGATGTTCGTCAGCAGCTCCATGCAAGCCGACAGGACTCTTTCAGCATCCGACCATGCGAGCATGCAAAGCTCCCTCCCTCTGAGGGGCTTTGGCAGGCTTGGCTCCTCCATAGCTGTCTACGGCATGACATGGCCAGGTTCCCCGCTGCTTGCCTTGGACTTTGTGCACACGGAATCCCCGTTGCTCCTGCGAACCTTCTCTTGCTTGGAAGTGGTTGCGGCTGTATATGGCGTTAGTTGCTTAGGGCCCTTGCTGTCAGCTCTTGACTATGCAAGTGCAGAGTTCTCATCTCCTTTGCAAGGCCATGCGCGACCTGGGCTGGCACCACCTGTGTTTGGCTTAACCTGCCCTGAATCACCGTTGCTGACTGCAGACTTTGTCTCTCTCGGTTCCTTGCCTTCTTTGCGTGGTTTTTGTCGGATTGGATCGACATCACCTGTTTATGGCATCACGCGGGTTGGCTTGTCGCTGTTTGCCTTGGACTTCCTGATGACAGGGAGCCTGTTGCTGCTGCAGTCGCTTGCCTGTTTAGGTTCTCTGATGCTTGCTTACGGCATGTCGCGTTCGGGCCCCTTGCCATTAGTGCTCGATCTTTGCCATGTCGATTCTTCTTCGCCAGCTAAGGGCTTTGCAAGGCCTGGCAGTGCTATTTTGGCTTACGGCATTGCTCGATGTGGGCTCACGTTGCTTGTACTGGACTCTGTGAATCTAGGGCTGGCTGTATTCCTGCAGGGCTGGATGCAAGCTGACCTGGTGCCTTCAGCTTATGGCATGTCACGCTCAGGGCCGATTTCATCCGCGCCCGATTCTGTGCACTCGGGACTCTGCACGCCGTCGAGGTACTTCGTCCGCCTGGAGCCCAGCATTCTCGTGTATGGTATGTCCTGTTCAGATTCCCTGTTGCCTGCTTTGGACTCTGTGCATCTGGGGCCACCTTTGTTTGTGCAAAGCCTCTGCTGTATCGACTTCTTGGTGCCTGCGTACGGAATGAGCTGTCTTGAGTTGACCATGTCGCTTTCGGATTTCGTCTCGCTGGAATCATTCTTGCCCCTACGCAGCTTCGCCTGCCTTGGCCCAGTTCCGTTGGCGTACGGCTGTGTCCGCCTGGACCTCCTGCTTTTGCTACCGGACCTCATTCACTCGGGACCGTCACTCTTGTCACAGGCTCATGCGTGAACGGAGTCCTTAACATCTGCGTATGGAATGTGTCGGCCCGACTCCTTGCTGCTCTTGCTGGACTCGATCCACACGGACTTGTCCTCGTCCTTACGTGCTTCCGGCCACCTTGGCAGCTCACTCCTGGTTTTTGGCATGACGTGACTCGGAAGCTCACTTCCTTCGTTGGACCTGATTCACATTGGCCTGTCCTTGCCACCACGGTCGCTCATTTAGCCTGGCTTTCTGTTGTTCGTCTACGGGGTGACCACGCTAGAACCGTCCCTATCAGCACCGGACTCCATTCGCCCCGGCCCAGTTCTGCCACTGCATAGCCCCATTTGGGTAGACACGTCTCTGCTGGTCTCTGGGGTGACATGTTCAGGGTTTTTGCCTTCGACCTCGGACTCTTTGCATCTTGGCAGCACGCCGCTTCTCCAAAGCTTCACTTGACTCGAGCTATCAGCTCCCATGTCTGGGCTGTCTCAGCTGGAAGTCAGCTCACCGGTTGCTGATTTCATAAGCTCAGGTCTGATTCTGTTTCTCAGGAGCATGTGTTGAGCAGATCCTACTATGCCTGCCTCTGGCATGACGCGCCTGGGTCCTCTTCTGTCCATTTTGGACTTTATCCACATGGGCCCGGTGCTGCTACCACATGGTCTCATCAGAGCTGGCTTTTTGCTGCCCCCGTACGGCATGTCGACCCTGGAGTCATTCGTGCCGGTGTCGGACTTTGTGAGCTCGGGAACGCCCTTGCCCTTGCAATCATCCCTCCGCCTGGGGTTCTCGATGCTTGCCTACAGCATGTTTCGTCTTGGACCGCCGCCGCCGGTGTTGGATCTCATCCATCCGGACTCGACCTTGCTGATGCAAAGCCCTGTTTGACTGGACTTTTCTCTACTTGCCTGGGGCATGACTCGCCCCGGCTTGACGCTTCCCGCCCCTGACTTCTTGCATCCAGAGCCTTTGCTGTTTTCGCAAAGCTTGATGTGCGCAGATCTGTCCCTCTCAGCGTATGGCTTTTCTACGCCAGGCTTTCCACTGCCAGTGTTGGACTTCGTGGGCATTGGCCTTCCGTTCCCGCCTCGTAGCCTCGTGTGCCTGGGTTTTTTGCTGTCCGCGTACGGTGCGGCAAGGTCAGGGCCACCACTGCTAATCCCCGACTCTGCCATGACCGAATTGCCGCTTTTGTCGCAAGGACCCGCCCAAACAGGCTTCCCCCTCTCTGCCTACGGCATGCTCTGCCTCGATAGCTTTCTGCCAGCCTCGGACTATGTGCACTCGGGTCTGCTCCTGCTTATGCAAGCCCTTGCGCGTTGCGGTTTCACCACGCCTACTTCTGGCTGTGCCAGATTGGGCGCTTTCCTTTTGATCCTCGACCTCATCAAGGCTGGCAGCTCCCTGCCATTGCAGGGCCTTGTGCGGTCAGACCCTATTACATCGGCCTACGGCATTGCTTGCCCGGACTTGCCTCCCTCAGTTTCGGATCCCGTGAATGTGGGCAGCCCGTTGTCCATGCAGAGCCACTTCCACTCTGGCCTTCTACTGTCCATTTTCAGTGTCTCCAGACTCGGCCTCAGCCTGCCCGTTCCAGATCATGTGATCACGGGATCGGCGCTCCTTGTTCAGAGCCCTTGCCGGCTTGGACCATTGACTTCAACCTACGGAGTCACATGCCCTGATGTTCTGACGTCCGTTCTGGATTCCACACATCCGGGCAGCTGTTTGCTGCTGCGTGGTTTCATGTGATTGGGCTCGCTGATGTTCGTCTATGGAATTGCAAAGCTAGACTTATTCCTTCCGGCTCCTGACCTTGCATGCATCGAAGTCTTGCTGTCATCGCAGTCCCTCGCCTGACTGGAGAGCTCGCTGCTTCTCTTGAGGACGAGCAGCTTCGACCCCAACATGTCCGCTCTTGACCTTGTGCAGATTGACTTTTCCCTGTCTCTGCACGGCCCTGCCAAGACGGGCTCACCGTCCCCTACCTATGGTCTGACATGATCAGGGCTCCTGCTGTCTGTCCCAGACCCTTGCCACTTTGACAGCTCAGTTCCGCTTCAGAGCTACGGACGGTCAGGTCCTGTTCTGTTAGCCTATGGCTTGATGATATTGGGCTTGCTGCTGTCAGCGCCTGACTACGTGAGCCCGGACCTTTCCCTGCCGTTGCAGTCCTTCATTCGCCTGGGATCCGTGATGCCGGCTTACGGCATGAGCCGTCCGGATGCGCCGCTTCTGGCACTGGACCCTGTGCACATGGAAAGCCTCGTGCCGCTGCAAGGTCACTGCTGCACAGGCCTTCCTCCACTGGCCTTTGGTATAACCTGCTCAGAATCTCCGTTGCCGATCCTGGACATAGTGCAGCCCGACCTCCTGTCATCCTTGCAAAGCTTCGCATGCATGGACCCTTTGGCCTTACTGTATGGCCTGATAAGACCAGGCTTCATATCGCTTCTCCCGGATCACACTCTTACAGGCCTCTTGTTGCCTCCTCGTAGCCATGCGTGCTTGGATTTGCCTTTGCCAGCGTACGGGCTAACGTGTTCAGACTTGAGTCCATCGACACTTGACTTTGTGGGTCCGGGCTCCTCCTTGCCATTGCGAGCCTTCCTGCAGCCGGGCTCCAGCATGTCCGTCTACAGCCTTGTGCAGCTGGACTTTCCGTCGTTGCCCCCCGACTTTGTCCATCTCGGAAGCCCCCTGCCACCGAGAGGCTTTGCGCACATGGACTTGCCCTTGCCGGCCTATGGCATGGTTGGCTTGGACAGCTTCTTGCCAGCGCTGGACCACCTCAGCCTCGAAGCTTTCCTGTTACTGCAAAGCTACATCTGCTCAGAGCCTTTGCCATCCGCGTGGGGTATCAGCCGCCTGGGCCCAAACCCCTCTGCGAAGGACTGTTTCATCGGGGCGAGCTCGTTCCCCCTCCGGTCCTTTGCTCGTTCAGGCTTCAGCCTTTTCGCGTATGGTCTTGTGAATCCCGGCTTGGCACCCTTAGCCCTCGATCACGTGAACTTAGAGGCCCTCTTGCTGCTGCGTTCCTCCATCTACTCAGAATCTGCCTTGTCGACCTACGGCCTTTCTAGGCTCGAATTCCTGCCATTTGTCCTGGACTCCTTGCACCCAGAACCTTCCATGCTGCTAAGAGCGCACGCGTGCTCGGGTCCCACCACATCCTTATACGGAACTGCGAGGCCGGAACCCAGCATGTCTGTGCTGGACTCTGCAAATCTGGGCCCTTTGATGCCGACAAGGAGCCTTCTCCGCCTTGACTTGCTTCTTTTCGTCTATGGCATGGGCCGTTCGGACTGGGGTTCATTGGCTTTGGACTTTGTTCATACGGACTCAAGCTCTTTGCCGAGAGGTCTTGCTCAGTCTGGTTTCCTTCTTCCAGTGTACGGAGTTTGCCAGCCTGGCTTTTCCTTGCTGGCTTCAGATCTCTTGAATTCCGGACCAGTTCTGCTTTTGCAAGGATCCCTTCGGCCAGGTCCTGCCATGTCCGCCTTTGGAATCGCCTGCTTGGACCCCATGATGCCAGCGCTCGACTCCATCCACCCAGGCCTAACGCTGCTTCCGCGAGGCCTTGCTAGGGCAGGGCTGACTTCATTAGCCTACGGAATGTCACGATCGGAGTTCTTGCTGCCAACTCTGGACTTCATGCAGCTGGGATCACCGCCCCCCCCGCACAGTGCCATCTGCCTTGGATCGTCACCATTCGTCTACGGCCTGACACGGCCTGACTCCACGCTTTCCTTGCTTGATTCTTTGTCTTCAGGCTTCACATTGCCCCTGCGATCCTTTGTTCGTTTGGGCCTCCCCACTCTTGTCTATGGCATGGTCTGCCTGGAGGTTTCGATGCCCGTGGCCGACTTCGTCCATTTGGGCCTGTTGCTGCTGCTGAAGACCTCCTCATGCCCAGGCCCTGCACTGCCTGTCTACGGCCTTGTCTGCCCCGACCCCAGCCTGTCTGTTCTGGATCTCATGGACTCAGGGCCCGCGTCCCCTCCAAGCAGCTCTGTGTGGTCAGGATCCCCTCCTCCAGTGTACGGAATAACATGTCTGGAGCCAAGCCTCCTCGCACTTGACTACGTGCTGATGGGCCTCATGATGCTGCTGCAGAACCACATGTGCTTGGGCTTCTTCTTGCCAGCCTACGGGCTTGTGTGCCTAGGGCTCATGTTGCCGGTGTCAGATTTCGTGAACATCGGCCCAGCTCTGCCAACCCTGAGTCTTGCGCGCCTAGGGTCCTTTCTGCTGGCTTTCTCGAAGACTCGGCTTGAGAAGTTCTTGCCTGCACTCGACTTCCTACACCCGGGCTTGACCACATCTCCTCAAGGCTTTATGAGGATGGGCTTCTCTGCTTCAGCCTATGGGCTAAACTGTCCGGGGCCATCGCCGTCAGCACCGGACTTCGCGCATTTGGGATTCTTGCTGTTGCTCCATAGCTACATCTGCCTGGACTTGCTGCCTTCTATCTATGGAATGACAAGACCAGGCTTTACGACTCTCATACTGGATTGTGTGCTCCTGGGCTTGCCAATGTCGCTGCAATCTCTTGTTTGTCTCGGCTCTGCTTTGTCCGCGTGGGGTGTGAGCAAGCTTGGCTCCTTTCTGCTTGTGCCGGACTATGTCACCGCAGGGCTGACTCTGCCATTGCACGGCTCCGTAAGATCCGGACTTCCTTTGCCAACCTCCGGCATGACACGGCCAGGGCCGCCTCCCCCGACCCTGGACATCATCACGCCGGGCTCACCGCTGTCTTTGCAGTCACCTATTCGACCCGATTTTCTGCTGTTCCTCTACGGCATTGCCAAGCTGGGGCCTCTCTTGCCAGTTCTGGATCTCGTCAGCGTGGGCCTGGCAGCTCCATCGCGCAGCTTCCTCCGACTCGGCTCCATCACGCCTGCGTCCGGGATGACAAAGTCGGGCTCACCGCTTTCAGCTTTGGACTTTGTGGGTATGGGTTCCCCTCTGCTTTCGAAGGGCCCTATGCAATCTGGCCTGACCTTATCTGCTTACGGACTGCTACGACTCGAGTCGTTGCTGCTTGCTCTGGACTTCATGCACCTGGGTCCGGTGCTGCCAATCAGAGCCTATTCCTGCCCAGGATCGCTTGCTTTTGCTTATGGCATGACATGCCCTGGCTTCTCTCTGTTGGTCCCGGATCCTTCCCACTTTGGATCAACAACGTCGCTCCGATCCCACGCCCAGACAGAATCCACTCTGCTGGTTTACGGAGTGATGAGGCTCGGATCCATCCTGCTCCTGCTCGACTGCGCAAGCATTGGTAGCACGACTTTGCTGAGATCCTTTGTGCATTCGGGCTTCGTTCCTCCGATCTTCGGCGTGACGCGCATGGACTTCCTACTGGCAATCCTGGACCCCATCCAGCTTGGCAGCATCACGTCCTTGCAAAGCCTTATGTGCCTTGAGCCCGGATTACCGGTTTATGGCCTCACCTGCTTGGACTTCTTTCCGCTGGCCCTTGATCTCACACACCCAGACTTCACGTTGCCAACGCGCGGCCATATTCAGCTTGAGCCTCCGCTTCCAGCCTTTGGCATGTCTGCCCTTGGGTCGTTTTTGCCAGTGTTGGATTCTGTTCAGCTTGGTCCTTCGCCCTCCCCACAAAGCTCTGCTCGCATGGACTTCCTGCCTCTTCCATATGGCATGGCTCGCCTTGAATTTCCGATGCCTGCTTTGGACTCCGTATTTATGGAGCTGTCGCTCCCCTCACGAGGCCATTGCCGTCTTGAGTCGTCAACGCTTGTCTACGGTTTCAACCGGCTGGACTTGTCCATGTCCACTTCAGATTTTCTGCACTCAGACTTCTCCTTGCTTTTGAGAAGTCTTGTTCAAACCGACTTGTCTTCATCAGCATATGGCATGCAGAGGCTGAGCCCAATACTGTCAGTTCCTGACTACATCACAGTGGGATCCTTGCTGCTTCTGCGTATGCATGCTTGAGCTGGACTTGCTCCGCCCGTCTATGGCATCGTGTGTTCGGGTCTCCCCATGCTGCCCTCGGACTTCGTTCACCTAGGTTCAGGCTTGTCTGCGCAAGGCCTTGCCCGGGCAGGCTCTAGTCCATCTGTGTACGGGCTGGTTTGCCCGGGCCTTTCCATGTCTGTGCTGGATTTCCTCCACTCGGAATCCTCGCCCTTTCTACAAACCCCTGCAAGGCTGGGATCTTCCATGCCCTTGTATGGCTGCGTACGCCTTGGCTTGAGCTTGTTCATGCCTGATTCTGGCAGCTCCGGCCCTATGATGCCAACACGAAGCTTTGCCAGGCTGGGCTTCTCTTCGCCGGCATATGGGGTGACTTGCATGGGGCCGTCGATGTTGGCACCTGACCTCATGCACTCTGACTCCTTCGTGCTGCCGCAAGCACATGTCTGCTCTGGCTTGTCGCTCTTGGCCTATGGCCTGACCTGCCCTGGTTTGTTGCCATCTGTCCCTGACTTTATTGCAGTAGAGCTATTCCCTTCGATACAGACCCATGCGTAGCTGGGTTCAGTGCCGTCAGCCTTTGGTATGGTCTGCCCTGGACTGCTGCTGTTGGCCTTGGACCTTTTTCATCTAGATTTCTTCCCGTCCCTGCAGAACCACATGCAAGTCGGCCTGACCCCTTTCGTCTATGGCATGACGAGAACTGGCCTGCTGTCGCTGGTTCCGGATTTTGGCCATATGGCACCGTTCGTGCCTTCACACGGTTTCGTGAAGACCGGCCCAACCTTGCCTGCCTTTGGCTTATCTAGACTAGGCTTGCCTATTTTGGTGCCCGACTTCATACACACAGGCGCTTCCACATTGCCTCACGGCTTTGCCCGCCTCGGCAGCTGCACCTTTGTATTTGGCATGGCATGCCTTGACCCGTTTCCTCCAGTTTTGGACCCTGTCCACATCGAGTCCCTTCTGCTGCTGCAAAGTTCTGCCCAAACTGGAGCGTTGCCTCTTCTCTACGGCATGGTCTGCCTGGGACTTTTCTTGCTTATTTTGGATTTCGTCCACTTGGGCTTCTTGCCGTTTTTACGAGGCCTTGGATGATTGGACAGCGCGCTGTCAGCCTATGGCTTAGCTCGCTTGGAGCTCTTCGTGTCGGTGCCGGACCACGTGATCACTGGGTCCTCGCCGTTCATGCGGACGCCTGCGCGATCGGATCTGCTTCCATCGGTTTGGGGACTGTCCACCTCAGGACCGCCACTGCCTGCACCTGATCCTATAGCAGTCGACTTGCCGCTGCCACCAAGGGCGCCCTGCCGATCAGGGCCTGCAATGGTGGTCTATGGTATGGTGTGCTTGGGCTCCTTGTCGCTTGCATTGGACTCTGTGCGCACTGGGCTGAGCCCGCCCTCAAGGACTTTTGCTCGCATTGGCTTTGCACTGTTTGCCTATGGATTAACCAGGCCTGACCTGCTCCTGTTGGCTTTGGACTTCGCAAACATGGGGTCTCCTCCATCGCTGCGATCACATGTCAGGATCGAGCCTCTCCTGCTGGCTTATGGCCTGTCACAGCTAGGTCTGCCCTTACTAGTCCTGGATTTTGTTCACTCAGGAAGCAGCTTGCCGCCGCACAGCTTCCTGTGTCCCGGCTTGATGATACCAGCCTTCGGCATGTCCTGCATTGGCTCTCCTCCGCTGGCCTTAGACTGTGTGCATTTCGGACTCTCCATGCCACCGCATTACCATGCACATACAGATTCCACTCTGCCAGCATTCGGCATGGCCTGCTTAGACGCTTTCTCGTTCACATCGGACTTTGCCGGTTTTGGCAGCCCTCTGTCTACAAGGAGCCACTTCCAGGTGGAGGTCTCGCTGCTTGTCTATGGCATGACCTGAACGGACCTGCCTCTACTGACCCCTGATTCCATTCGCTTGGGTAGCTTCTTGCTCCTACGTGGCCTCTGTAGGCTTGGCCCTTTACTGTTGGCCTTTGGCATGACATGCTCAGGCCTACCGACGTTAACTTTGGATTTTTTGCACTTGGGCCTTTCGGCATCCTTGAGATCGATGCTTCACACTGGCCCGGGGCTGTCAGTTTTTGGAATGGCCTGGCCTGATGCCTCGCTTTTCGCGCTCGACTTCATCCATTTGGAATTCACGATCTCGCTGAAGGCTTTCGCACACTTGGACTCCCTTTTGCCAGCAGTAGGACTGGCCCGGTCGGGTCTGTCGCTTTTGATCCCAGACTTCATTCATCTGGACTTGTCCCTGCCTCTCAGAGGCCTTGCGCAAACCGGCTCATCACCACCAGCATATGGCATGACGAGGCCCGAGCTTTTGACGCTGATCTCAGACATGTGCCACCTTGGCTTGCCCTTGCTGCCTCGATCCCTTATATGCCCTGGCCTTGTGGCGCCCGTCTACGGCATGGTTTGTATGGGCCTTCTCTTGCCAGCCTTGGATTTCGTGCACTTGGACTTCAGTTTGCTGCTTCGACACCCCGCGTGCTTCGGCTCACCACCTCCAACTTATGGGTTTATGTGCGTCGGCCTTCTGCTGTTGATTTCGGACTACATGTCAGTTGATAGTCCCTTGCTGCTGCGAGGTTACAGCCGGCTGGGCTTCATGATTTCCGTCTACGGTATGAGTACTACAGAGTCCCTGCCGTCCATATTGGACTTTGCGACTTTTGGCAGCGCACCTTCTTCAAAGAGCTTCATGTGCACGGAGCTGCTTCTGCCCGTGTTTGGCCTGTCCTGGCCTGGCTTGTTACTGCCAGCCCCAGATCACATTCTCCCTGAACCCGCCTCATTCCTGCAAAGCTCTGCGCGCCCGGAGTTCTCCCTCTCGGTGTACGGGGTCGCTTGGCCAGGCAGTCTGCCGCTCGTGCCGGATCATTTCAGCGTCGGCGTGTCGATGCCTCCGCATGGCTTCGTGAGACCCGACTTGCCTCTTTCGGCCTCTGGCTTGTCGCAATTAGGCCTGAGCATCTTCGTGCTGGACCGCATTTCATCAGGAAGTCCCCTTTTGGTGCAGGCCCCTGTCCGACTTGGGCCTAGCCTGCTTGCGTCTGGCATGTCTTGGCTGGGAATTCCGTTGTCAGTGCTGGACTATGTCCACTCGGAACTTCCAATGCTGCTCCAAACTCCTGCCTACACTGGCTTGCTGCCGACAGCTTCTGGGCTGGCTCGCTCGGGAAGCATGTTTCTGGCACTTGACCACACGAACTCCGGAAGCGCACTGCCGATTCAAACAATTGTTTGCCCTGGTGCGGCCTTACTGGCCTATGGCTTGTGCAAGCTCGGCCTGCTGCTGCTGGTGCTGGACCTTCTTACGCTGGGCCTGATCACGTCTCTAAGAGCCTTCGCCTGCTTTGGCCTGGCAGTGTTTACATTTGGCATGACGCGGCTTGGGCTCTCGCCTACTTTGCTGGACCTCGGTAGCGTGGACCCCTCTTCGTCCGTCCGAACGTTCGTCTGATCGGGCCCAGCACTGTTGGTGTATGGCACGTTCTGCATGGGCCTGAGCCTTCCTGTGCTGGACTTCGCAAGCCCCGACCCCATGCTGTCCTTGCGTGGCCTCGCTTGCTTCGGGTTCCTGTTGCTGCCGTACGGGATGACATGTTCAGGCCTCTTGCTGCCGATCCTGGATTCCATTCATCCAGGCAGCTTGCCACCACCGCATGGGCATGTCTACTCGGGCCTCTCCTTACCTGCATCTGGAATGACGTGACTCGGACCAAGCTTGCTCGCGCCAGATTCCGTGCAAATGGGCTTCTTGTCGTTGCCACATGGGTTCTTCCGTGCTGAGCTTTCACCTCTCGCCTTTGGAGTCGCACGTTCAGGCCTGTCGCCACTCGTGTTGGACCTCACTCACTTCGGGTTGGTGATGCTTCCTCGCAGCTTCTTGCAAGTGGGGCCTTCGACGCCGGTCTACGGCATCGCATGCTGCGGCTTGCTTATGCCAATCCTAGATTTCGTTCATTCAGACCTCGTGCTTTTGCCAAGGACTCTTGCTCACGCTGGCCCCATGCTTTCGGTGTACGGCATGAGCTGCCTGGGCTTCAGCCTGCTTTCACCAGACTGCGGATATTTGGATGCCTCATCGTTCCTGCATTCTCTTGCTTGGTCGGGCTTTTTGTTGCTCGCCTACGGACTCACGAAGCCTGGCTTCCTTCTGCTAGTGCTCGACTACGTGCACATAGACTCTCCCTTGCTGCTTCGTGGGCTCAGTCGCACGGACCTGCCAATTCCAGTGTACGGCATGGCAAGGCCCGACTCACCCTCCCCTGCTTTGGATCACATCAACATTGGCTTTCTTTCGCCTGTGCATTCGCACGCTCGCGTGGGCTTTCCCCCATTGGTCTATGGAGTGACACGCTTGGAAAGCCTTCTGTCTCCTCCTGACTTCATTACAATTGGGTCGTTGCCGCTGCTGCGTAGCCTTGCCCAGCTTGGATCTTTGCCACCTGCCTATGGATTGACGCGCATAGGCTCCTTGTTGTCAGTGCTGGATTCCGTCGAAATTGAGTCACCTCTCCCAGCCCAAATGCCTGTCTGTTTGGGTTCCTTGATATTCACATCTGGCATCGCCAGATTGGAGTCACCTTTGCCAGCTCTTGACATGATGGCTACAGAATTATCGCTATTCTTGCATGCGTCCAGTCGGATGGAGTCGATGCCCCCTGTCTATGGCATGGTCTGGTCAGGCTTTCCTCCTCCTGCAACGGACTTTGTGAAGCCAGGGCTGCTCCTGCTGTCGCGGAGCTACACTCACCCTGGCTTCTTGCCGCTTGCTTATGGCTTGTCCTGCTTGGGTTTCTTGCTGTCTGTTCTGGACCTTGTCGGGCTTGACCTGCTGCTGTTGTTGAGAGCATCCTTCTGGCTTGGTTTGGCTTTGCCTGCATCTGGCATGTCATGACCAGGCTCCTTGATGCCGGTACTTGACTCCATTCATCCGGACAGCAGCCTGTCACTTCGGGGACCTTTCTGTACAGGACCTGTGCTGCTTATCTATGGTCTGTCATGGCTCGGATCGCCGCTGCCAGTTTCAGACTACATGCACACCGGGTCATTGCTGCCAGCACAAGGGCTCGCCAGGTCCGAGCCAGTGCTGCTTGCATATGGAATGACTTGCTTGGATGCATCCTCCTCCCTCCTCGACTGCGTTCACCTTGGCTTGCTGATGCTGCTCCGTGCTTTCGCTCGCATTGGCTTACCGCCATCAGCCTTTGGTGTGTCAAGGTTGGAATTGCCCTTGCCGGTGCTTGACCACATCCAGACTGGGCCGGCCACGCTGTTGCATGGCCCTTGCTGACCTGGTTTTCCAGCGTCTGCTTACGGCGTGAGCAAACTTGAACCTTCAACGCCCATACTGGACTACTTCCAACCAGGACTCTTTCTGCCTCTCCGCGGTGCTGCTCGGCCGGGGCTGGGACCCTTGGCCTATGGAATGACGTGTTCAGAGCTTTCCTTGCTCACCTTGGACTTGGTGCATTTGGGTGTTTTCTCGCCTCTGCAAAGTTCCTTCTGACTTGAGTCCCTCATGTCGGCGTATGGCATGACATGACTTGGTTTGCCTCTGCTTGCATCAGACCACGCGAACTTAGGCTCCACGCCGCTCTTAAGGTCGCACCTGCGAATCGGGCTGACGTTGTCGGCCTTTGGCATGACATGCTTGGACCTGATACTGCTGATATTGGACTCTGTGAACACTGAATTCAGCTTGCCGCTGCGTGGTCACCTGCGCATCGGTTTCTCATCATCTGCTTACGGCGCGAGCCAATCAGGTTTTCCGTTGCTGGCTCTTGACCCTGTGTGCCTTGATTTGTTCTTGCTGTTGAGGAGCTCTGTGTGAATTGGTTTCCCCCTGCTTGTTTATGGCATCTCATGCACGGGCCTTTTTCTAGCAACGCTCGACTATGCTCAGCTCGGGCTCCTGATGCCACTGCAATCACTCTTTCAGCTCGAGCCCACGCCGTCTGTCTTCGGCCTGGCACGTCTAGAGTCACCTCTTCCGGCGTCGGACCTCGGTGTTTTTGACAGTTCCTTGCTTGTGCAAAGCCCTGCTCAGGTGGGCCTCATGCCACTTGTCTCCGGCTTGACAAGGTTGGAGTTGTTTCTGTCTCTCCCGGACTTTGCTAGCTTGGGCTTGATGCTGCCACCCCGTGGATTTGTGCGCATGGACCCCTTTCCGCTTGCTTTTGGCATGACGTGCCTAGACAGTTTTATGTTGCCACCAGACCTTCTCCACCTAGGATTGCTGTTGTTGCCACACAGCCTCGTGAGAGCTGAGCCGTCGCCGCTGCTTTTCGGAATGGTGTGCTCAGGTTTGTTGCCTCCAGTCCTGGACTCAGCGCATCCCGGCTTGCCCTTGCTCTTGCAAACGCTCGCATGCCTAGGTCCGAGTCCATTGGCATACGGCATCTTCTGAACTGGTCTCATAACGTCTGTTCTAGATTCCCTCCACTTGGACTTGGCATCACCTCTGCGAGCACACGCCAGAACAGGATCCTTCTCGTCGGCCTACGGGATGATGAGGATGGGCTCATTTCCGTCCACGTCGGATTACTCCAACCTCGGATCGGTCTCGCTTCTGCAATCCTCCCTTTGATCGGGGTTCCCAATGCTGGCTTATGGAATGACGCGTTCAGGTCCCTTGACATCGATCCCTGACGTCACATCACTTGGCCCAAGTTTGCCTCTCCATTCTTTTGTCCACCTCGATGTCTCGCCTTTCGTGTATGGCTTGACCCGCACGGGCTCTTCACTGCTGGTGCTCGATCTCGTCCACACTGGTTTCTCACTTTCTGCCAGAGGCCACGCGCGCTTTGACCTACCTCTCCCAACCTTTGGCATCTCTCGCCTGGACCTGCTGTCATCCGTGTCAGACGTGGTGTGTTCGGGAAGCCTCATGTCTTTGCACGGCCTTCTGCGAATGGGCCTGCTTCTGCCTCTCTATGGGCTGAGCTGGCCAGGGTTGCCACCTTCGGTTTCGGATGCCTGCACGCTGGGCTCTCTGTTGCCGCCGCGCTCCCTCGTCTACTGTGGCGCTCCCCTGCCAGCTTTTGGATTGGTGAAGTCAGGTTCGTTGACATCGACGTCGGATCCTGTGTCACCGGGCTTGTCCACGCCACCTAGAACGCCCCTGAGACTCGGCTTATTCATGCTCATGTATGGAGTAGCGTGCCTGGGCCTCTTTCTGCTGGTGTTGGACCCTGCGGCCCCCGGCAGCCCTTTACCAATCCGAAGTTTTTTGAGGCTTGGCTTTTCTTTGCCCGCATCTGGCATGTCAACGCCCGGCTTGCCTCCGCCACCATTGGATCCCTCGACTCCCGAATCGATGCTGCTTGCAAGATCGCCTGCCCGCCCTGACTCGATGCTGCTTGTTTATGGTTTGACTCGACTCGGGCTAACCCCTTTGGTGCCAGACTCCGTCCACTCTGAGTTGCCCATGTCCCTCCGCAGCGTCATCTGTTTGGGCAGCTCACCCTCTGCGTACGGACTCGTGTGTCTCGGATTGCCCCTGCTGCCTCCCGACCTTGCGGATCCCGGCTTGTCCCCCTCTGTGCACGGCTTCTGCCAACCAGGCCTGTCGATCTTCGTTTATGGCATCTCAACACCTGGTCCGTCGATGCTTGCGCTGGACCTCATCCAGCCAGAGTCTACAACGTCACTCCATAGCCTCTTGCGGCTAGAGCCGACGATGCCTGTGTACGGGATGAGTTTTTCGGGCCCGTTGCTGTTCATCCCTGATTTCATCAATGCCGAGCCATCCATCTTGCTGCGCAGCTTTTTGTGTTTGGGTCTGTCCTTGCTGGCCTACGGCCTGAACTGCTTGGGATTGTCCTTGCTGCTCTTGGACTTTGCACACCTTGGCAGTGCTCCGCCCACTCGCGGACTTGTTTGGTTGGGCTTGGTCTTGTCGGCCTATGGCATCGTGCGCCCTGATCTCTTGCTACTTGTGCTGGACTTTGCTGAGTCTGAGCCACTGACACCGACCCGTGCCTTCGCTTGCCTGGACTTGCCAATGCTGGCCTTCGGCATCGCTTGGTTGGGCTCGAGCATGTCTGTGCTGGATTTCGCTTGCTCGGACAGCGCCTCATCTTCAAGGTCATCCGTTCGCCTCGAAGTTGCGCTCTTCGTGTATGGATGCACGCATCTCGAGCCTTTCCTGCTCATCCTGGACTACGTGCACATGGGATTGTTCATGCCCCTGCAGGTTTCCGCATGCACCGATCCAATGCTTTTAGCCTTCGGCGTTTCCAGGCTGGCAAGTTTGCTGTCCGTCCCCGACTTTTGCCATTCTGGTTCCATGACTTCCCTGCACAGCCCTGCAAGGGTGGACTCGCTGTTGTTGGCATACGGTCTATGCAGACTTGGTTTTTTGATGTCTGCACCTGATCTTGCCCATCCTGACCCTTCTCTGTTGTCACATTGCCATGGATGTTCGGGGCCAACGCTGTCGGTTTACGGCCTATTGTGCTTGGGCCCGCTCCCGCTCTTGCCAGACCACGCTCACCCGGACAGTGCCATGTTACTTCGCGGCTACTCACGTCCCGAACCCAGCTTGCCGGCCTATGGGGTGATACGCACGGGCCCGCTGTTGTCTGTACCGGACTTCATCAACCCTGGCCCGCCCATGCTATGTCGAAGTCTCGTTTGGCTGGGCTTCTCCATCCCAGCCTATGGCACAAGCCGCCTTGGCAGCCCTCCGCCGACCCTGGACCCCATCCACACTGACCTGGCATCGTTTCTGCGTTCCTTTGCGCAGCCAGGACCATTGCCACCGACCTATGGCCTGGTTTGTCCGGAGGCGTCACTCCTAACATCAGACTTTGCAGAATGTGGCCTGTTGCTGCTCTCAAGAAGCCTTATGCGATTGGGTCCATTCACACCAGCCTCCGGCTTCTCCGCTTTAGGTTCCATCCTGCTGGTGCTGGATTTTGTGTCCACAGACTTCACCATGCTGCTCAGGTCACCCATGTGCTTTGGTCCTTTAATGCTTGTGTATGGCTTGTCCTGGTCAGGCTCCAGCTTGGTGGTGCCAGATCTTATTAACTCGGGCTTTGCAACGTTTTTGAGGTCTTCCTTGTGTCTTGACTCTACGCTCCTTGCGTACGGCGTGTCCGTGCCTGGCCTGAGCCTGTTAATCTTGGACATGGCATGCCCGGGACCTTTGCTTTCTCTGCGAAGCTCTGTGCACACGGGATTCTCAATGCTGGTCTACGGAGTGTCTTGGCCAGAGCTGCTACTGCCTGCGCCCGACTCAGTCGTCTTCGGCCCATCCACACCACTGCAGTCCCTCATGCGTTCGGGCCTCACGCCATTCGCCTTTGGCTTGGCAAGGTCGGGGTCTTCCTCGTCGATGCTTGACTGCGCCTCGATAGGATTGCCAATGTTGCCCCACAGCTTCGTCCAAACGGGCCCTTCCTCGTCGACCTCCGGCCTGTCCCGGTTGGGATCTCCGACGTCGGTGCTGGACCTCGTGAAGATGGGCTTCGCTCCTTGGCAGCACAAGACTCAAGAGTAGAGTAATGATTGGAGTAGATCCGTTCTGTAAGTTTCTGCACCATGTCTCACCACGTAGGGGTTTTCTGACAGCTGCTAGTGTGCATGCTAGTGCCGTCGATCATAATCCTACTCATGTAGCGAAGGGTTCAATCCACAGTGTGAGTTAGGAAGTTCTTTGCCCATCCAAGGCTCTTCTGCTGCAGTCCTTGGTCCGTCTGGATGCATCGCCTCCGGCCTACGGGCTTTCGAAGTCGGGACTCCCACTGCCAGCGCCAGACTCCGCCAACACCGGCAGCGCGCTCCCGTTGAGGTCGCTGGCTCGTTCTGACCCTTCGACCTTTGTGTATGGCTTGTCTAGGCTCGATCTATCGGTTCTTCTGTTGGACTCCAGCTCTATTGACCTGACGACATTGCTGCAGTCTTTTGCCTAGCTAGGCTTTCCGCTGTTGGCATTTGGCCTGGTCACCATGGGCAGCTTGCTACCCGTCCCAGACTCTATGAACATTGGCCCTTCTTTGCCGCCACAAACCTTTGCATGGTCAGGCCTGCCGCCTTCTGCTTATGGGCTAGTGCGACCTGACCTACCCCTTTTGATGCTGGATTTTGCCACCTTCGGCTCGCCCATGTCTCTGCAAGCATTCTGCTGTCTGGAAGTCGCCATTTCACCCTACGGGATCAGCTGTCTGGGATCATCACTCTCTGCCTTGGACCACGTTCAGGTGGACAGCTTAATTTCAGTACGGAGCTTCTGTTGCACTGGCCTCCCCCCTTTGGTTTTCGGCTTGACCAGATTGGAATCGTCCTCGCCGGCTTCGGATTCTGTCCACTTGGAGTCAGGCTTGTTGTTGAGATCTCTTGTGCGTGTGGGCTCCTCGATGCCCGCCTATGGTCTAGCACGATCAGGGTTACCGCCCCCTGCCCTTGATCTCATACACACTGACCTATCCTTGCCTACTCGTACCCTCATGCGGGCTGAACTCCCTCTTTTGGTATTCGGCATGTCCCGGTCAGAATCTCTGCCTTCAGTGCTAGACTTCATTCATCCGGGTCCCATTATGCCATCGCAGACCTTCTGCAGACTCGGCTTGTTCGTATTTGTCTACGGTGTGGCACGGGTTGGACTGCCACTGTCGGTGCCGGACCTTGTTCATCTTGGGCTGTTGACGCCATTGCGCAACTCTGCGTGCTCTGGCTTGCTTTTGCCAGCATACGGGTTGGCGCGTCTTGCTCTGTTGCTGTTGGTGTCAGACTTCATTCACCCAGGCATGGTGCCTTCCGTAAAGACCTCTTCATGCACCGGCTTTCTGATTTCTGCGTATGGCATCGTCCGCTTGGGCTTCTCACTGTTAGCTCCGGACCATGCGTCCTCAGACCCGGCCTTGCCAGCCAGAAACATGGCTCGATGTGATGTGTTGCCGCTGATCTTCGGCATGCTGCGCTTTGGCCTGCCCTCCTCTATCTTGGACAGCGAGACCATGGGCCTTCCTTTGCCCATGCAAAGTCTTGCAAGGCCAAGCCTGCTGGTGCCTGTGCTGGGTGCAGGATGCTTCGGCTTGCTGCTGCTTGCACTTGATCCTTCAGACTCCGGGAGTTTGCTGTTGATGAGATCTTTCGGAACGATGGAGGCCTCAATGCCGGCATCTGGTGCAGCTTGCTTTGACCCCTCCATCTCTGCCTTGGACCTCTTACAGCCCGGACCGATAACGCTGCCGCAAAGCTTTGGTTGCCCTGGATCCGTTTTGGCGGCCTCCGGTCAGAGCCGCTTCGGTGCTTTGATTTCGGTCTTGGACTTCCTACAGCTCGCGCCACCGCAGTCGATGCACAGCCTTGCACGGCAAGGGCTGCCATTTCCGGCCTCTGCAAGCATCCGGCTTGGCTCCTTGTCTCTCTTGCTTGACGGGCAACACCCAGGTTCTTCGGCTTTGATGCGCAATTCTGCTTGGCCTGACACCTTGGTACTTTCGTTCGGCATCGCCTGGTTTGGAGCATCTCTTGCCGTGTTGGATTGCGCAAGTCCTGATCCTACGTCATCCCTTCGTAGCATGGCCACCTTCGGCTTGTTGTTGCTGCTCTCTGGCACGCTGAGAATGGGACTTAGCATGCCGGTACCGGATAGTATGCATGCAGATGTCCCGCTTCTGGTGAAGGCCCTTGCTAGACTTGGAGCCGCTTTGTCAGCCTCCGGCTTGTCATGATTTGAGTTTTCGGCTCTTGTGCCGGACTTCACTCAATCTGGAAGCATGATGCTTGTGCGTTCTATTGGTCACGCTGACTTGGCTCTGCCAGCGTTTGGACTGGGCTGCTTGGGTGTACCGCCTCCAGTCTCGGACAGTTCCTACATGGGGCTTCCCTTGCTTGTTCGCAGCATGTCCCGTTCAGGGTCCGCCCCCCCGGCATTTGGGATCGGCCGTTTGGACCTGCTAGCTTTGATCTTGGGCGTTGCGGAGATCGACTTTGCGCTGCCGTTACACAGCTCTGGCTGCCCAGGTCCTGTGCCTTCTGCGTTTGGCATGGGCTGCTGCGGCTCTTCATCTTTGGTCTTTGACTTCTCACAGTTTGAAGCCCTCCTATTTGTGCGAGGTTTCGCTCGCACGGGCCCGCTTTTGTCCCTTTACGGCATGGTATGTCTCGGAGCCAGCTTGCCGGCACTGGATTTCATCAGTGGTGGCTCAGCCCCGTCCCTGCACAGCTTCGCTCTCCTCGACTTGCCCTTCTTTGCATCCGGCATCACCAGATCTGGACTCTTGACGCCAATGCTTGACTACCTGACACTGGGCTTCTTCTTGTTCTTGCAAAGCCTTGGCAAAACGGAGTCTCCTGTGCCAGCATGGAGCATGGCGAGGTCCGACTCACTGGCGCTGTTGTTTGACCACTTGCGATCGGGCCTTCCCATGTCCCCAAGAAATTATGTGCGAGGTGGCAGCGTGTCGTCGGTGTTTGGTCTGGCCCGCATGGAGTCCTCCATGTCCACTCTTGATTGTGAGCACGCAGGTTCCCCGTCACCTTTCCAAAGCCTGGCACGTGCCGGGCTCGCTTCGCTTGCCTCAGGTCGTGTCAGCTTTGGGCTCTGCACGCCTGTATTGGACATGGTTACTTTTGGCTCCCTGCCGCCGCCCCAATCCCTTGCCCGCCCGGGCTTTGTGTTGCTGCTCCTGGACCATGTGGCCTCAGGCTCGGTCCCTTTGCTGCAAAGCCTTCAAAGATCAGGCCCGGCACTCTCTGCCATGTCACGTGGGCGTTTTGGGCTCTCGGTCTTCCTCTTGGACTGCATGCATACTGAGCCAAGCGCTCTGCTACAAGACTCTGCACGTTTGGGGCTCCTGACGTCCATCTTCAGCGCGGTGAAGGCTGAGCCTTTGCTTCCTCCACTGGACTCTAGCCACTCCGGGCCAACGTCTTTGGCCCGGAGCCTCGGACGGCCTGGCTCTGCTTTGCCAGCCTCCGGCGTGGCCCGGTCCGACTTCTTTCTGCCGGCCTTTGACTTGGTGCATGGAGGGCCGGCGCTGTCTCCCCGGAGCTCTGCGCGACTTGGCCCTGCCTTCGCGACTTTCGGCCAAAGTCGATTGGGTTCACCAGTGCTGGTTTTCGATTGTACAGAACTAGGCCCACCCTTGCCACCTCAAGCAGCCGCTTAGCCTGGCTTCTCCGCGCCCCTCTTTGGCCAAACCTGTCTGGGCTCCCTTACATTCGCACTGGATCCTGCCCACCATGGCCCTGCGCCTTCCTCGCAAAGCTTCCTGCGGCCAGGTTTCACGACAGCAACTTTCGGTCAAACGTGCTACGGGCCGCCTGCACCGGCCTTGGACCTCACCTCATCGGGGCCGACGTCTTCGGCACAAAGCGTCACATTCATGGGGAGCTCGCTTCTTGCCTTCGGCATCGCGCGTTCTGGGCTCCCGATGTCTTTGCCCGACTACCTGCAGCTTGGCCCGACCATGCTGCCACAAAGTGTGGGTCGCCTTGGCCCAAACTTACTGGCTTTCAGCCTGGCTTGCTTCGGGTCCCCTATCTCGGTGCTTGACCACGAGACCTTTGGCAGCGTGTCGTCGGTGAGATCCTTGTGCCAGTCGGGTTCAGCCTTTTTGGCTTTGAGCTGTGGCCGCTCTGGCTTCCCTTTGGTCGCACCTGACCTTTTGCACCCTGGCCTCTTCTTATTGCCGCAAAGCATGGCTCATGCAGGTTTCATGTCATTGGCTATGTCCGCGGTGCGCTTCGGCTTGACGTCAAGCTTGCTGGATGTGTTCAACGCAGGGCCATCTCCAGCTCTCAGGTCACTTGCCCGTCTTGGCCCTTCTACAGCTGCCACGGGTATTGTGCGGCCAGGGCTTTTGTTGACAGCGTTGGATGCAGTGCAACCGGAGGCTCTGCTGTTGCTGCAGTCTTCCAGCCGACTTGGGTTTGTCCTGTTGGCCTTGGACCTTCTGCATCTGGACTTTGTGACGCTTCTGAAGGATTCTGTGTGCACGGACTTTTTGGTCTCTGTGCCAGGCATGACCTGCTCGGGGTCCTTGATGCCGGTCCCTGACTTTGCCTTTTCTGGCTTCGCCTTGTTGCCGCAAAGCCTTGCCCGACTTGGCCTTGCCGTGTTGGTGTTGGACTTCCTTCGCCTGGGATCCCCGCCGCTGGTGCGCGGTCTCGCTCAGCCGGGGCTGGCATCCTTCGCGTTTGGCTTGTCGCGATGTGGCGCAACGATGCCAGCTCCAGATTCCACATCTCCGGGCGCCTTGTTGACACAGCGTAGCCTCGCATGATCGGGTCTCCTGATGCTCCTCTTCAGCTGCGTGCGGTCTGGTCTTCCAGCACCGGTGCTTGATCTCTTATATCCAGACCCGCCAACGCCACTGCAGTCCTTGGCTTAATCGGGTTTCGGGTTCCTAGTTTTCGGCAGGGCTGGCCCAGATGCTTCGCTTTCTGCTTCGGATTCCGTGGACCCTGATCTGGCCTCGCCACCGCACAGCCTCGCATGCACAGGGCTGCCCACGTCAGCCCCTGACTTCTTGCAGATGGGGCCCTTCTTGTCTGCTCGAAGCCTCAGTTGTCTGGGCCCAGGGGCGTCTGCCTTGGACTTTTTGCACCTTGGGCCGCTGCTGTTCCTTCGTCGGCTTGCAAGGTCTGGATCCACGTCTTCACCACGGAGCCTCGCGTGCATTGGTTTGGCCTTTCTTCTTTTTGCTCCGAGCCGGGTGGGCCTCCTCCCTTCTGCACTGGACTTTGTCCACCTAGACCTTTCGCTCTTCATGCGAAGCCTTTCGAAACTGGGCCCTGCGGTCACAGCACCAGACCCCCTGCGTCCGGGACTCGCCCTGCTGATGCATTCATCCACTTGTCTCGGACTCAGCGTTTCTGTGTCTGACAAAACTCGATCAGAGTTCCTGCTGCCAGTCTTGGACCCTACTGATTTCGGATTAGCAGCTTTCGTGAAGAGCGCTCTCAGACCGGATGCTTTGCTGTCGACCTTCAGTCGCTCTGTTTTGGAAGTTCTTATGCTTCTTCTGGACTGCACCACGCTGGGCGTGTCACTTTTGTCACGAAGCATGGGCCGGCCAGGGTCAGGCTTCTCCGTGTGGAGTGCTGTTCGCATGGAGTTGATGCCATCCGCTTGCGACTTTTTGCACCTAGACTTTTTCGTGCCCGCACGTAGCCTGGCAAGATCCGGCTTTATCATGCCCATACTGGATTTCCTGCAACTGGGCCCGACAACGTTGCTGCGATCTCACGCACGTCTCGATGTACTCACACCGGCCACGGCTACAATGCGGCTAGACTTGCTGCCGTCCATTCTCGATTGCATGCATACTGGTTCTGTGACTTCGCTCCGCAGCTCTGCGTGGTTGGAGCTTACACCATCCGTCCTTGAGCATGTTCAACTAGGCGCCTTGCTGCTTTTGAGAGGGCTCATTCGTTGCGGGTTAACTACCCTAGCTTTGAGTGCTGCCCGCTCCGGCCCGACCTCACCAATCCTCGACTCTGCGCAGCCAGACCCCTCGCCTTCTCTTCAAAGTGCAGGATGCTTGGGCCTGACGGTGCTGGTGATGGGGATCAGCCGCTTGGGCTCGCCACTTCCTGCGTCAGACTTTGCTACACTCGGACCACCGCCACTTCCGCGAGGATTTGCCAAGCTGGGACTTGTAACGCTTATCCTTGACTTTGTTCGAGCAGGGTTTTCTTTATCAGCACGTTCAAAAGTCCGCCTTGACTCGGCCATCTTGATCTCCAGCAGAGCCACTCTAGGCTTGATGCCGTCTGCCTTAGATGCCTCGGAATCCGGCTCCACGTTCTTAGTGCGTAGCCTGGCATATCCTGGGCTGGCCTTGTTTGCATCTGGAAATGCCAGGTCTGAACCACCTGCTCCAGTACCCGGCTCTGTGGCTATTGGGCCAGCGCTCTCGATTCAAAGCCACTCAAGATCAGGCTTTGCGGTGCCTCCGCTTGACCCTTTCCGTTTGGGTTTCTTAATGCTGATACAGGGTCACTCTCGGCCAGACATGGCACTGTTTGCTTTCGCCGCGACTCGCCTGGAAGTGTTGTTGCCTGTGCCAGGCCACGTTGAACTGGAGTCTGTGATGTTGGCAAGGTCCCTTGTTTGGCCTGGGCCAGTTCTTTCTGCACCTGATGCTGCATACCTAGGCTTCATGTTACCCCTGCAGGGCAGAACTCACTTGGACTCTGCTTTTCTGATCTTCAGTCGAAGCCAATCGGGTGTTCTCATGCCAGCTTCGGACTCCCTTCAGCTGGACTTGTCATTGTCACTCCATGGCCTTGGCTGCTTTGGATTTGGAGTGTCTGCCTTTAGCGTATCATGGCCAGAATCCAGCATGCTTGCTTTCGATTTCGTGGATCTGGGTTCCTTGTTGCTGTTACAATCCGTTGCTTGACCTGGCTCCGCATTGTCAACGATGGCCAATTTCCGCATCGGCCTGCTGCCTCTAGTTCCGGATGTGACAGAATGTGGCAGCATGCTATCCCTGCGTTCACGCGCGCAGCTGGGACTCACTCCCTTAACTTTCAGCTGCACTCGTTCCGAGTTCTTGGCTTCTGCTTCGGACTTCTTGCAGCTTGAGCCCTCGTCTTCTCCTCGGACACTTGCTCGCATGGGATCACCGTCCCCCGTCTCTGGTGCCACCTGTTTGGGACCGGTGTCGTTTGCTTCCGACGATTCTCTTCTTGAATTGACACTGCTGATTCGATCTGCGGCTCGAACGGGCCTTCCACCGCTGACATCTAGCAGAGCGAAGCCGGATTCGCTTCCTCCGGTGCTTGATCCTGCAGAAGCAGGTTCCGCCACATCTGTGCGAAGCCGCACTCAGCCCGGGCTGGAGCTGCCAGCGTCTGGGTCCACATACCTTGGCCCGCCACTACTTGCGCTCGACTTGGCGGAGTTGGGGTCCCCGCCGTTTGCTCGAAGCCGTTCCAGGCTGGGCCCTCCCACAGCAACTTCCAGCACTGCTCGGCTTGAGTCCTTGGCCCTGGCCCTCGACTTCGCCCACCTTGGCTTCACACCGCTTGCTCGCTCCACCGCCCGTTCGGGCCTGGCAGCCTCCGTGTTTGGCGTGGCTGACATGGGCTTTCTGACGCTGGCACCTGATTTTCTGACGCTGGGATTCCTGCTTTTCCTACGAAGCTCTGGGCACTTGGAAGCTGCAGCATCTGCATTTGGCTCTTGCCGAGCTGGTTTGCCCATGCCCGCATTTGATCGCGCGCACTATGGCCTATCACCGCCTACTCAAAGCTGCGCTGCTCCGGGGCTTGCAGCGCTAACCTCCGGCATATCCAGACCGGGGTCCATGCCAGCTGCGTTTGACATGAGTTACTTTGATTCGGTCTTGCCCTTGCATAGCTTTGGCCAACTTGGCAGTATGCTGCCGGCGTCTAGCTTCGCTTGCTTCGGATCTATCCCTTTCGTCTTGGACTGTTCGGAGACAGGATCGGGCATGCCGACAAGAAGCACAGCTCATCCTGGCCCTGCCTTGCTGATCTTCCGCTTTGCGTCTTTAGGCCTTCTAACGTCAATCCCTGACTTCACAAATTCTGAATCAACTTTCTCTCTGCAAAGCCTTGGGGCTGTGGGCCCTGTTGTGCCGTCATATGGCAGTGCCTGCTTTGAAGCTCCACCTTTCGCCCTGGACTCCACAGCTCCCGACGCGTCCTCGCTGGTCCGGAGCGCGGTGCGCCTTGATGCTGCGGCTTCGATCTGCGCCAACGTCCGCCTGGAAGCGGCTATGCTGCTGTTGGATTTCATGCAGTCGGAGGCGCCCCTGCCTTCGAGGAGCCATGCCTGCTTTGGCCTTGCAGCCTTTCCGTCTGGTGGAGTTCGGTCTGGCAGCTTGTCGCTTATGATGGACCCTGGCCACCCAGGCCCCGCTTTGCCGTCGAGGTCTGTTGCGCACTTGGGCTTCTTGCTGTCTTCGTCCAGTGTTGGCAACATGGATGCTTCGATGTTGGCCTTTGATTTCTTGCATCTGGGTTCTCTCCTATCACCCCGTTCATCCAGCTGTCCCGAACTTCCTGCATCTGCTTCTGGCCTGGGATGGCCTGGTCCCATCTCGCTTGTGTTGGATTTTGGTCACTTGGGGTTGGCACTCCTGGCCAGAAGCTTTTCGGAGCCGGGCCCTTCCCTGGCTGTCTCCGGACTCGCTTGCATGGGCCTGATGTCATCTGTTCCTGATGCCTCTTCAATGGGCCTTGCTTTGTTTCTGCACAGCGTTGCCAAGCCAGAGGCCACAGTTTCATTGTCTGGTGAGGCTTGGCCTGAATCCACACTGCTGGTCTTCGATTCTGCTCATGCAGGCCCCGCGCTCTCCTTGCGATCTTTGGGCCGCGCTGGACCGTCGATGCCGGTCTCCTCGTCAGTCAGGCTTGGCGCCTTTTTGTCGGCCTTGGACACGACGCACTTCGATCCGGTTTTGGTCTTACACAGCTTCTTGTGACCTGGCCTACTCATGTTAGCTGCCGACTCTTCAATGCTCGGCCCATCACTCCTCCTACAAAGCGCTGCTTGCTTGGGAGTGTCCTTTTTGGTGTTTTCGATGTCTCGCCCGGACGCACCCATGACAGCATCTGATACGACAGCCCTAGGACCGACTCCTTTGCTGAGAGCTGCCGCGAGGCCGGGAGTGACTTCCCCAGCTTTTGGCTGGACGCGCACGGGCTTCAACCTGGCCGCTCAGGGCTTTGCCAAGCCTGGCAGCATCCTTCCGGTTTTCGGCCGGACGCACCCTGGCCTGCCACCCTTGGCGCTGGACCTTGCGCACCCTGGACCGGCACTCTTTCCAAGATCCCATGCGCAACCTGGCCTTGTGACGTCTACTCTCGACTTGCTTGCTCCCGGCTCACCGCTGCTGGCACGGAGCTGCGCTCGGATGGAGCTGTTGCTGTTGGCCTTCAGCCGTGTCGCTTCGGGGGCGTCGCCGCTGGCTTTGGACTTTCTGCACACGGGACTCACAGCGTTGTCAAGGAGCTGTGGGCATCTGGGCTCGGCAGTGTCGTTGTGGGGCCGTGCGTGCTCCGGTTTGCCGATTTTGGCCGTGGACTTCCTGCACCCCGGCTTCTTGTTGTCCATGCAAGGCATGGGCAGGTGCGGAGCTTCCCTGTCAGTGATCTCCAGGGTCCATTTTGGCTTGTCTCCCTTCGTTCTTGACTCTGTTGTCTCGGGCAGCCTGCTGCTTTTGCGGTCCCTCGCTTAAGCGGAGTTCTCCGCTGCTGCGCTTGACTTTGCCCGGATTGACCTTTCCCTTTTGCTCCAAAGCCTGGGCTGCTCAGGTTTCATGCTTCCGGTGTCCGGCAAGGCTTGGTCCGGTCCCCTCACGTTCGTCCCCGATTTCTTGACACTCGGCTCTGCCGCATCTTCCCGAGGGCATACCAGGCCTGGGCTGGCTCTGTTGGCTTTCAGTGCTGCCAGGTTGGGCTTGTTTTCGCTGGCGATGGACTTTGCAACCCCGGAAGTGGTTTCGGCTTTGAGATCCATGGCCTGACTGGATGCAGCCCTGCCCGTGCTGACTTCGGCAAGGTTTGAGTCTCCTGTTCTGGTTCCTGATCTCCTCCATTCAGGCTTCGTGCTGCCTTCAAGAAGCTTTGCGTGCCCTGGCCTTACCCCTTCGGCGGTCGACAGAGTCCGTCCTGGCCTCCCGCTGCCTGTCTTGGACCTCCTCACGTTGGGCACTTCGCCATCTGTACAGTCGCACTCGCGTTCAGATCCATCGATCTTTGCGCCTGACCTTGTCAGGGCCGACTTGCTGATGGTGTTGCGAGGCATCGGGTGCATGGAGCCATCCCTTCCTGCTTTGGCGCCGGTGAGGCTCGGGCCGAGCCTTCTGGTCCTGGACCTTGCCTTGATGGGCTCCGCTCTGCCTCCTCACAGCTTTGCTTGATTGGAGTCTTTGCTGCTGGCCTCGGACTCTGTGCGTGCTGGGCTGCCTCCTTCGCTGCAAAGCTTCGGCCACTTGGAGCCAGTTTTGCTGGCATTTGGCATTTCATGGATGGACCCTTCAGCTCTGACTTCAGATCTCACGGATTTGGGCTTCGCGTTGCTGGCCCGGAGCACGGTGTGCCCAGGCTCCGTGCTGCTCGCACTGGACCATGCGCAATCGGACTTCTTGGCGTCACTTCGGTCATTCACCCGACTGGGTTCAGCAGCATTTGTTCTCGGAATTGTAAGGTTGTCCTCGTTCTTGTCAGTGCTGGACCTCGTTCACTTGGACTTGCCGCCTTCTGTCCAAAGCCCTTGCTGCTTGGGCTTTGCCCCGTTAGTGCTCGACTCCCTTGAGCTCGGGCCATCTCTGCCTCTTAGGGATCCTGCGCACACCGGTACCTTGGCAAGAGATTCAGAATCCATTTCAACTATTGCAAGGGTGGCTTCAAGTGATAGGACCTGGGTATGTATGTTCTATTGCAAGTAGCTCGTCCTGGGATGGGGGTTGTTCACATCGCCTTGTGCAAGTAGTACACATCGATCGGTGTCCACGAAGCGGAATTTGCTCGGTAGGTCGTAGGTGGCGAGTTTATGAAATTGTGAGTTGGCGGTTTCTGCAGACTATGCGCTAGTAGCACAATTTTTCTTATAGTTATAGTTAGCAGAACTCTGAGCGTCTTCGATTCTTGAGATGAACACGTTGTAAGGTCCATCGTCGTCTGCACCTGGCAGAGCGCAGTCTGGGGTGTCTTTGCCTGTGCCAGACTTCCTACACCTGGGCCTTTCCGTATCCTTGCACAGCCTTGTGCAGTTTGGGCCATTGATGCTCGTCTTGAGCTTTAGCCACCTTGGATCGTTTGCCTTACTGCGAAGCGCCATGCGGCCGGGGAGTCCGTTGCTTGCCTCCAGCACCTCACGACTCGGCCTTCCCCCTTTGCTGCTTGATCGCGTCTCCTTTGACTCTCCTGTGCCTATTCGTAGCTTCAGTTGCGTGGAAACAGCCCTTCCCGTGCCGGACCTTAGCGGCTCAGGACCATCCCCCTCTCTCCAGTCACCTGCTCTTCCTGACTTGGTCACGCTTGTGATGGGTGTTTCTCGATCAGAAGCATCCCTTTTCGCTTTGGACCCTGTGCTTTTGGGCTTCCTGATTCCTGCCAGAGGTCATACCTGTCTGGGCGTGCTCCTGCTTGCCCTGGATCCTGCTTGCATGGGGCTGGTACCGTTTCCGCAAAGCTACGTCTGCACTGAGCTCACAGTTCCTGCAATCGGTTTAGGTCGGCCTGGCTTGACTTCATCCGCACTGGACTCCGTAGCTTTGGGATCATTGTTGCCAGTTCGACACATGAGCTGCCTGGGTGCATTCGTGTCCGTGTGTGGATTGGCTTGCATGGGCCTCAGCTCGGCGGTTCCTGACATGAGCAGCTCAGGCTTCTTCTTGTTGCTTCGAAGCTCGACGTGCTCAGGCCTCTTGCCATTGGTTGCAGGTACGGTACGAATGGAAAGTGCGCTCTCGGTGTCGGATGGGGTGTTGCCTGGGTCGTTCACTCCAGTCCGGCAGTTGGCTCGATCAGCGGCTTCTGTGCCGGTGCTAGGACTGGCTTGCTTGGGGCTGCCATCTCTGGCGCTGGATCCCACGACTCCAGGTTTGGTCTTGCCGGTGCGTAATATGGCTCATCCCGAGTTGCTGCCGCCTGTGCCCCGAGGCACCCAACTTGACTTGCCGCTGCTTGTCCCAGACTCCGTGCAGCTGGAGTCATCCTCATTGCCTCGTAGCCCCTCTCATACTGGACTCGTGTTGTCTGTCCTTGATTTTCTTCATCTCGGCTCCCTGCTACTGTTTCGCAGCCCCTCTCAATGTGATGCCTCTATGTTGGTCTCATCAAGGGTGCGTGTTGACCTCTCGCTGTTGGTGCTGGACCGGTTCATCCCCGGGTTGCCCTTCTCTCTGCAAGGCCATTCTAGACTGGGCATGTCCTTGTTGGCGCTGGATCTTGCGCGGTCAGGCTCCATGATGCCAGTCCGCTCACATGCCCGAGCCGGGCTGACCCTGCTAGCTTTCAGCCTGGGCCGATTTGGTGCTCCGCCTTTTGCATTGGACTTTCTCCACTTGGAACCACCCCTGTCATCGCGATCACTCACCCATCCTGGCTTTCCTGTGTCTGCAGTGAACAGGGCTTGGTTTGACAGCTCCCTCCCTGCACTGGACCTCGTAGAATCCGGAGCTTCGATTTTGATTCAGGCGACGACGCGATCGGGGTCCACGTCTCCCTCACCTGGAAGAGCACACCCTGGCCTCATCTTGCTTCCAGTGGACTATGCATGGCCCGAGTCGGTGCCTTCCGCACGATCCTTTGCGCGAGCAGGTGCCTCATTTCTAGCCACGGGAATCGCAAGGTTGGGATCCTTGCCGCTCGTGCTTGACTGCGTGCAGCCCGGGTCTTCGCCTTTCCCAAGGAGTTCTATGCGCGCTGGTCTCAACCTGCTTGCGCCTGACTTCGCCCGACCTGATGCCCCATTGTCATCAAGGTCTCGCGGCTACCCTGGTCTCACATCACCTGTGCCTGGCATGTCCAGGTCTGACTTGTTTTCACCTGCCCTGGACTTTCTTCAGGTCGGCTTACTGCTGCTGCTGCAAACACCTGCTTGCACGGGATTGTTACTGCCAACCTTTGGCAAGACTATGCTTGGCGTCTTACTGTCAACGCTGGACCACTTGACATCAGGAAGCCCTTTGTTTCTTCAACACACGGCTTGCTGTGGTGCCTTCCTGCTGGCGTTCAGCTGTTCACGCTCTGAAGTCTTTATTTCGATCTTGGACTGCTTGCACCTGGGTTTGTTCTTGCCCCCTCAAAGCCTCTCATGTTTGGAGTCGGTGGTGCCCGCGCCTGATTCTGCTGCGTTCGGCCTTATGCCTTCCGTGCGGTCCTTTACGCGTATGGACCTGAGTTTATTGGCCCCAGATCTCGCACAATTCGACTTGCTAGCGTTGGCGCAGGCAATGATCAGGCCGGAGCTCACTTTGCTAGCAACGAGCAGAGCTTGTTCGGGGCTCGCGTTGCTCGCCCTGGACTCTGTGTGCTTAGGCCTCAATCTGTTGATTCAAAGCCCCTTCTGAGTGGAAGCATCCATGCCAGCTTTCAACTACGCAAGACCTGGGCCAAGCCTGTCCTTGAGGAGCATGGCCCGACCTGGACTTTTGCCTCTGGCGTTTGATCGCGTGCGCTGCGGATTTTTGGCGCCAGTCTCAGACTTCCTGCATTCAGATCCGCCCGCGTTGACGAGGTCGCTCGTATGTGCCGGGTCCGCTATGCCAGTCTTTGACGCGGTAAGGCTCGGATTGTCGCTGCTTACCGTGGACCACACGTTGGCAGGTCTCTCGCTGTTTGTGCAATCGCTCAGTTGCCTTGGAAGCACGCTGTCGGCTCCAGACTCCTCGCACCCGGGATTCTCGCTACCCTTGCACAGCACTTGCAAGCTGGGCCTCACTCTGCCAGCCTTCAGCCGTGTCATGCCTGACCCGCCGATGTCAGCTCCGGATCTTTCCCTCTCTGATTTCGTCCTTTCCCTGCAAAGCCCTGCCTGGCTAGAGCTGACTATCTTCGTGTATGGTTTAACTTGCCCCGGCTCTTTGCCGCCAGTGCCAGATCTCGTTCACATGGACTTGCCGGTGTTGCTGCAGAGCTTTGCGCACTCAGGGTTTATGCTGCTGGCCTATGGCGTGACGCTGCTCGGCTTCTCGCTTTTCGTTCTGGACCTTCTCCACCTTGACTTTACTCCGCCCTCGCGGTCCTTCGCGTGGCCGGGCCTAAGATTCTTGGTATTCAGCCGATCGACTTCCGACTCCTTGCTGTTGGCCTTTGATCTCGCACATCCTGGTTTGTCCTCCCCGCTTCGAAGCTTCATGTGCCTGGGCTTCACCTTGTCGGCATATGGCATTGCAGAGCCTGGACCACCTTTGCCTGCGCTGGATTTTGTCCACACGGGCTTCTCATGCTCGCTGCGCAGCCTTGCGCGACTCGGGCCCTCATTGTCGGCATATGGCATGACAGCTTCAGGCAGCCTGCTGCCAGCATTGGACTCCATGTTCCTTGGCTTCCTGATGTCACTTCACAGGCTTGCTTGCTTCGACCCGTCCACGTCACTCTACAATCGCCTGCGGCCTGGATTCATTTTGTTTGTCCTCGACTTTCTGCATCCCGGCACATCCTTGTCGGCGCATTCCCTTGCTCGACTGGACGTCGCAGTGCTGGTGTCGGACTCTCTGGAACCAGGGCCTCTTCTGTCGATGCACTCACTTGGATGTACAGGTTTCGCGCTGTCTGTGCTGGACTTTTTGCAGCTGGACCCATCGCTGCCCTCGAGATCTCCCGCACGTTTAGGCTCGACCCCGTCGGCAACGGGTGCCACGCAGCCGCACCTTTCACTGCCGGTTTCAGACTCTACACTGCTGGGCTCCCCACCTTTCCTTCGAAGTCTTGCGTGCTCCGAGGCACCGGCGCTGGCCCTGGATCTTTTACGGCCGGGCTTGAACCTATCTTCAAGGAGCCCTCTTCACATGGATCCAACCCTGCCCGTGTTTGGAAAGTGCCGTTCAGAGCTACCCGTGCCTGCGCCGGACCTGGCGAAGATGGGTTCCAGCATCTTCCTGAGATCCCTGCTTCGCCCAGACTCAACGTTACTTACCATTGGCATTGCCTGGCTGGGATTTCTGATGCTCGCGCTTGACTGTGGGCATTCCGGTCTGCTGATGCTGCTGAGAAGCTCCTTGTGCCTTGAGTCCTGTGCGTTCGTCTTGGATCTTGCATTCACGGACCTTTCAGTCTCCCTCCGCAGCTTCTCGCGTCTCGAGGCGCCCGCCCCAGCGTCAGACTTCTTGCGCTTGGGCAGTTTCTTGTTGCCTCAAGCGCCTGGGCATTTAGGTCCGGTAATGTTATCGCTTGGAGCTTGTTGCTTAGACCCCACGCTCTCCGTGCCAGATCCCACTCAGCCGGATGTGTCCGTCCCCTTGCAAAGCCCTTCGAGGCTGGATGCCCCGCTGTTGGCATCAAACTATGCTAGACCAGGCGTGCTCTTGCCAACTCACAGCTTCACACGCCTTGAGCTCCCGGCATCTGCAATTGGGCTAAACTGCTCGGGCTTTGTGTCCTTTCTGCTTGTGACTGACGTCACCGACCTTGGCTTTCCTCTGTTCGTGCAAAGTCTCGTGCATCTTGGTCCCATACTGCCCGTCCTTGACTACACTCGATTGGACAGCCCTCTGTCACTTCGAGGCATGGCCTGTCCTGAATTGGGAGTTCCAGTGCTGGACCTCTTGCATCTCGGACCAAGTTCGTTGCTACGAAGCGTTTCTTGCTGTGATGCGGCGTTGCTGGTGCCAGACTCTCTTCACCCCGGCTTCCCCCTGCTGACGCGAAGCCCTGTGCATTTAGAGCCTCCTTCACCTGCCCTGTCAAACTGCAGGACGGGCCCAACTTCGCCGGCTTTGGATTATGTGCATGCAGGAAGCCCGCCTTTGGCAAGAAGCCTTTTTCGACTTGGCATGCTGATGCTGGTCTTGGATCTTGTTCAGCCTGGGCTGATGCTGTTTCTTCGTTCGCTTGTCCGGCTTGAGTTCACGCTGTCTGCGCCAGGCTTGACTTGTGTGGGTTTCGTGTTCTCCCTGCCAGTGATAGAGTATGCTCATTTCGAACTGACGCCGCCTGTCAGGAGCCTTTCGCGGCTTGAGCCCCCTCTTGCAACAATGGATCTCGGGCGCTCGGGCCTACCGATGTTGCCCCGCTCTTGGTCCCGTCTCGGGTTCTTGGTGCCTGCGCTAAGCGCTTGCAGGCTGGATGCCACACTGCCCGCCCTGGACCTCACTGAGTCGGGCTTCCTTCTGCTACCCCAAAGCTTCAGCTGTGCCGGATCAGTGCCGCTTGTGTTGGACTCCGCGGAGCTGGGACTCCCCCTGCCACTGCACTCCTTCTGTCGCCCTGGCTTCGTGGTGCTCGTGTCCAGCGCGAGTCGGCCCGAACCTTTTCTGTCAGCACTGGACCACGTGCACTTTGATCCACCCATCCCTTTGCGAAGTACGGCCTGACTTGAGCCGACCTTTCCAACAGCGGACCACATTCGTTCGGACTTGCTGCTGTTGCTGAGGGCCATGAGTTGACTAGGTCTCCCATTGCCAGTTATGGGTGAAGTGCGGCTGGAGAGCTTGCTGCCTGCGTCAGACTTCCTCCAACTGGAGGCCCTGTTGCTTGTGCAATCACCTGCATGACCTGGCCTGAACCTCCTCGTGCTGGATTCCCTGAAGTTGGGCTCCTCACTGTTGCTGCGTAGCCACTGCAGGATGGATGCCTTCACGTCACCTCTTGGAGTGAGCCGTCCCGACCCGCCGCTGCCTGTTCTCGACTTTCTTCACTTGGGTTTGCTGTTGCCGGCACGCTCCTTGGTTCAGCCGGATGTGAACCTGCCAGTGCTTGACTTCCTACATCCAGGCTCATTCCTGCTGCTGCGAGACCACTTCCGCCTCGGCGCGTCTTTGCCGGCCACGGCCGTTTCCAGATTCGGACTGCTGGCGCCGGTGCCTGACCCCATAGAGCTGGGCTCAGCGCCATCTGCACATAGCCCTTCGCATTCGGAGGCAACGGTTCCAGTGCTTGGTCACACGCGCCCTGGCTTTCTTTTGTTGTTGCGAAGCTTCAGTTGTCCTGGATTTGTGCTTTCTGCGTTAGACTTTCTGCATCTCGGCCTGTTGCTGTTGCTCCGAGATGTGGGTCAGCTAGGGCCCTCACCGAGCGTCTCCAGTCGTGCGACATGTGACTCATTGTCGCTGGCACTGGACTTTCTGCAATCAGGACTTGTGCTGCTGCTCAGAAGCTATTTGTGGCCAGAGGTGAGCCTACCCGTTCCTGACTTCGCACACTTGGGGCCTCCGCTGCCACCCAGGAGCTTCTGCTGCTTAGAATTCATGGCGCTGGTGCCAGGCTCAACGCGGCCGGGTTCTGTATCCTTGCCGTCGGCCACTGAAAGTACACTTTTGGACCCCTCGATGCCTCCTCGGAGCTTTGGACGTGTTGACTCCGTCTTGTTGGCCTTAGATTTCTTGCATCCAGGCGTGCTGCTGCCCTTGCAGTCCCTCCACTGCACTGAACCCACAACCTCGGCCTTTGGGGAGGTGTGTCTAGGCTCATCTCTCCCTGCACTGGACCTCACAGTTCCTGGGCCGCCCCTCTTGCTGCGAAGCATGGCTCGCTCTGGCTTCATGCTGCTGGTGCCGGATTCCCTGCAATCAGACTTTTCACTGTTGCCGAGATCCTTCGTGCAACTTGGAGCTTTGCTGCTGGCAACGAGTAGCGTGCACTATGAGCTGACGCTGCTGGCTTTGGATCCTGTGCATTCGGGACTTGTAATGTCGCCCCACAGCCTTTCTTAGCCTGGTTTTCTGCTGTCTGTTCTGGACCTCCTCCGGCTTGGCTCGTCCCCGCTGCTGCAGTCTTTTGGCCGATTCGGTTTCACGTTGCTGGTCTCTGGAATGACCTGGCTCGGCCCAACTCTGCTTGTACTGGAACTTGCTGGCCTTGACTTTGCTCCGTTTCTGCAAAGCGTTGCCTGGCTCGGCTTCGTGGCTTTGGCTCTGGACTTTCTTAAACCTGGCTCACCATTTTCGCCACAGTGCCTCAGCCAATTAGGACCACCCTCCACGACCATCAGCGCCAGCAGATCGGGGTTCCCGCTGTTGGTTCCCGATCTCTCTCAGCCAGGCCTGAGTATGTCCTTGCGATCGGTCGCTTGACCTGATCTTTTGCTGCCAATATCAGACCACTTGCAGCTAGGCTCCATGTTGTCAGTGCGCTCATTCATGCATCTGGGTCTGCAGACGTTTGTTCCGGACTTTCTGCATTTGGGGGTCATGCTGTCGGCACAGTCACCTAAGTGACCAGGAAGCCCTGCTTCGATTTACCAGATGGCGCGCTTCGATGCTTCGCCATCGGCCTCGGATTATCTGCGCCCGGGGCCTTTGATTCCTCCACGAAGCCTTGCCAAGCCTGGCCTGCCGTTTTTGGTCTCCGGCACCTGCCAGCTGGAGCTGTCCCTCTTAATCTTGGACTTTACGGACTTGGGATTCGTGCTTCCTGTGCAAAGCCCTGCTCGTATTGGCTTGGCCTTGAGCGTCCTGGATTTCAGCATGCTTGACTTATCGGCTCCATCCAGAAGCTTCGTTTGCCTGGGCTCTGCAGCTTCCGCCTCGTCTTCTTGTCGCTTGGGCTCCAGTCTTTTGACTCTTGACTCTGTGCAGCTGGGGGCTTCGACCTCCACAAGAAGCCTCGGGCAGCCTGACCCGCTCGTGCCTGCACTCGATCTTGCTCATCCGGACTTTGCACCCTTGATCCGATCTTTCGTCTGAGCAGGTGTCCCACCATCGGTGCTTGATTTTTTGCACCTCGGCCTGCTGCTGTCAACGCAAAGTCATTGCCGGGCTGACGTGGTGTTGTTCGCCTCAGGCCTGAGCCGAATCGGCTTTGTATTCTTCCTGCCTGTCACAGCAACGACCACCTTCGGGCCTCTTGTGTCTCTTCGAAGCCCCGGTTAACCTGGCTTGGTGCTGCTGGCGGTCGATTTCCTGCACTTGGGAGCACCGCCTTTGCTGCAAAGTCGTTCGCGCTTGGGCTCGGCTTTGTTGGCTCCGGACTCCCTGCATCCGGGCTCCTTGTCGCTCCTCCGCGCGGTTTCACGGCTGGGTTTTCTTCTGCCTTTGATGAGCGCGGCGTGGCCCGGGCCAACGACGTCCTTGCTTGACATGGCGTGGTTGGGCTCTGCGATCTCGGTGCGAAGCACGGTGAGACCGGAGTCGGCACCTTTGGCCTCTGACTTCTTGCGCTCGGGCCTGACCCCTTCTCCGAGAAGCCACACTCGACCGGGTGCCACGTCGTCGGCTTGCGGGCTCTGTGCAATGGACAGCCCCGTGCCGGCCTTGGACTTCGTTGACCTGGGCCTGGCTTTGCTCCCCAGGAGCTCCGCTCGGCTCGGCGTCTCGCTGCTTGCGCTGGACCACCTGCGCTCGGGCTCCACGTTCTCGCTCCGATCCTCTGCTCGCCTGAGCTTTGCATCCCCGGCGCTTGGAATCGCTCGCCTCGAACCTCCGTTGCCTGCGTTGGATGCTACACATCTCGGGCCCCCGTTGCCTTTGCGTTCCCTCGCGCGCTTAGAACTTGCTACCCCAACCACGGACTGCACACACTTGGGTGTTCCACCACTGCCGCGGAGCCATGCGTGCTTGGATGCTTTAGTGCCAGTGCTCGACTTTCTGTGTTCGGGACCATCGCTGCCCTTGCAATCATTAGCTTGCACGGAGGTAGGGACGTCTGCCCTTGATTTCCTGAGTCCAGGGCCAGCACTGTTGGTGCAAAGCTTCGCCCGTACAGGCTTCCTGGTGTCAGCTTTGGATTCCTTGCATCCCGACTCGTTCACTTTGTCGAGGAGCCCTATGCATGTGGAAGCACCACTCCCCGCTCCCGACCCTGCTGTACTAGCTTTATCCTTGTTGGTGCGCGACTTCGCTTGTCTGGAGCTGCCATTGTCTGTGATGGGTGCCTCCTGCACGGGCTTGATGTCGTCACCGTCGGACCTCGTAAACCTTGGCTCCCCTATGCCAGCGCGAAGCGCAGCTAGGTTGGGACCTCCTCCGCTGGCTACTGACCTCCTGAGACCAGGCTTTTCCACACCCTCGCGCAGCTGGTCCCAAACGGGCCCGTCTGCATCCTCGTTCGGCAGCGTGTGTCTTGGATTGCTTCCTTTTGCCTTGGACTTCACTGGCCCCGACTTGCTGGTGTTACTGCGGAGCCACTCCCGTCTGGGCCCAGCTTTGTTTGCAATGGACCCCTTGCATTCAGATGCTTTGATCCCATTGCGTAGCTACACGCGCTTTGGCTTGGCACCGTTAGTCTCCGCTGCTACACGTCTCGGTTCGCCTCCGCTTGTTCTGGACCTCGCCGGTCTGGGGTTGGTGTCTTCTTCACAAAGCTACGCAAGGTCAGCACCTTCTGCACCGGCAATGGATTTTTTGCATCTGGACCTGACTTTGCTTCTTCGATCAGTTGCAAGGTTCGGTTTGGCAGTGCCTGTGACGGACTTTTTGAAGCTGGGCTTGCCGCTCTTCGCGCACAGCTCTGGACGACCCGGGAGCCCGGCGCCGGCTTCCAGCATTGCAAGACCGGAAGCGCCCTTGCCGGTACCAGACGTCGTTACACCTGGCCCTACCCTGCCTTTGCGCAGCTCCTCGTGTCTGGGCTTGCTCGCATCTGCGCCTGACCTCGCAACGATGGGCCCAATGCTGCTGATCAGAAGCATGGCACGCTTGGAAGCTGCTCTCTCTGTATCAGACCTCCTGCAGCTGGGCCCCCCATCCTTTTCACGGAGCATGGCCCGGCTGGGAAGCTTGCTGGCCGCAATGGGCGCGAGTCGTCCCGGTAGCATGCTGCTAGTGCTGGATGCCATGCAGACAGAAGCCCCGTCGCCAGCGCGCAGCCCTTGTAGACTGGGAGCTACCTTACCGGTGCTGGACTTCCTTCGACTGGGCAGCTCCCCGCTTGTGCGCTCTCTCATTCGAATGGGCTTCTTGCTTTCGGTGATGGGCGAGGTCAGGCTGGGTGTGCTTTTGCTTGTTTCAGATTTTGTACACCTTGGCCTGGTCTTGTTGCTCCGAAGTCTGGGTTGTCCGGAAGTTGCCTTGTTGGTGATGGACCCCTTGCATCCGGGCTCCATGCTTCCGTTGCGAAGCCTCGCAAGCTCTGGGCTTCCGACCTCTCTGCGGATGTCCGCGTGCTCTGACCTTTCTTTCTCCTCGTGCGGAGTCTCTTGGGTCGGTTTCCTCTCGTCGGTTTTGGATTCCGCCCACTTGGGTTCGGCCTCGTCTCTCCGAAGTTTAGCCCGGTTAGAACTGGCAACGTCGACCTTGGACTTCCTGCATCTCGGTCCGGCCTTCTTGGCGCAAAACTTCGGACGAATCGGCTTCACATCTTCAGCCTTTGGCGTGTCTTGCTGTGGCTCCCCCTCCCTGATTCTGGACCACACCTACTTGGGCCCCTTGATGCCAACCCAAAGTCGTGTGTGCTTAGGTTTTGCGTTGCTGGCACCAGACTTCTTGCAGCTTGGGTCCGTGTTTTCTTCGCGATCCTCAGCTCAACCGGACAGTATGATGTCGGCCTTTGGAATTTGCAGGACGGGCTTGATGCCTTCAGTGCCCGACTGCACTCATTTGGACCCAGCTTCGCTTTCACACAGTTGTGCATGAACGGAATTTGTCCTGCTAGTGCTGGACTTTATGCAATTGGGGCTGTCAACGCTGCCGAGGTCGTCTGCTCGAATGGGTCTCGTGTTGTTGCCCTTCGGTCAGGCCTGCTTCGGTGCCTTCCCTCTTGCACCTGACTCCTCGGACCTTGATTTGGTCCTGTCCGTGCGATGTTTCGCCAGCTTCGGCGCAGCCTTGCCCCTGCAAAGCTTCGCGTGCTTTGGCTTGGCATCCCTAGTGCTGGGTGTGGCGAACCCGGGACTTTCAACTCCTGTCTTGGACCATGTGCTGCCAGAGCCTTTGCTGCTGGCACAAAGCCTTGGTCAACTTGAAGCGCCCCCTCCAGCACTGGACTTGCTCCATCCAGGCTCCCCCTCTTCGCTTCGCAGTTTTGCTTGCCTGGACCCCTCCATGCCTGCGTTCGGAATTGGGTGGCTCGGACCACCTGCCTTCGTGCTGGACCTCACAGCCTGTGGTAGCCCGCTGTCCTCGCAAAGCCCAGGTTAGCCGGGGTTAGCCGCTCCAGCATCAGATCTCCTGCAGCTGGGATCCTCACTGCCTTTGAGGAGCATGGGTTGTTCGGATGTGGTGCTGTCACTTTTCGGGCTGGGGCGCTCTGAATTGTCAGCACCAACTTTGGACTACGTTTTAGCGGGCAGCTCCATGGCACCCCGCAGCTTTTCGCGGACAGGCTCCGCCTTTTCTGCCTCCGGAATCGGTCAGCTGGGATCCTCGCCTTTTGTACTGGACCCTACTCACCTCGAACCGCTACTTCTGATGCAAAGCTTTGCAAGAGCAGGGTTTGTGGCTCTGGTTCTTGATTCTTTGCATCTTGAGCCACCGCTCTTGCTACGAAGCCTTGCCAGCTCCGAACCATTGATTTCTCTCCGGAGTGCTGCTTGGTTCGGGTCCTGTTTCTCGGCCTTCGGACATGCGTGCTGTGGCTTGTCCTCCCCCGTGCTGGACCATGCTTACTTGGGCCCGCTATTGCCCGCCAGATCCTTTGGGCAAACGGGCTTCGCCTGTTTTGCGCTGGACTTCTTGCAGCCCGGGCTTCCTCCGTTCGCTCGAAGCTTCGTGAAGGTTGGTTTCATGTCGCCAGCCATGGGCACTGCACGGCCGGGGCCTTCGCTGCCAGCGCTGGACTCCGCGGACTCAGGGTCGAGCTCGTCTACACGCAGCGCTGTGTGGCCGGGGTCCGCGCTGCTCGTCTCGGACTTTCTGCAGTCAGGCCTTGCCCTTCCTCCCCACAGCTTCGCAAGACTGGGGCTGGTCATGTTTCTCTCTGGCATGGGCAGAGTGGGAGCACTGCTACCTGCGCTGGATTCCACGTTGATGGGGTCTTTCGTGCTCCTGCGATCCCCTGCGCGTTCGGATGCAGCTGCGCCAACTCTGGACACTTTGCAACTGGGCTTTACTATATCATCGCAGCACCATGGCTGGCCAGAACCATGTTCGTCTGCTTTCGGATGCACTTGCTTTGGTCTTCCGGCCTCGATCCTGGACTTCAGTAATTTCGACTCCGCTTCATTGCTGCAAAGCTCCTCTTGTCTGGGTTTGGCTTTGCCAGCTCTGGACCCCTTGCAGTTGGGCCCATCCTTCCTCATAAGGAGCCCTGCTCGAGTAGGACTTGCTTTCTCACCCTTCCAGCGTCTCCGCGTTGACGCAAGCCTATCGATTCCAGACCTCACCCACCTGGATGTGCTGCCTTTTTTGCACAGCTCTGCACGTGGCGGCTTGGCTTTTCCGGCCTCTGGCATGTGTTGTGTTGGCTTGTTGCCTCTTTCGCCGGACTTCGCGCAGCTTGGCTCGGCAGCGTCGCTGCAAAGCATGTCGCGGTCGGGCGCGGCAGTGTTAGCATCGGATTCTCTCCAATCAGGCTTCTCCACGCCGCTGCGGAGCCTTGGCCACCTTGGTTCTGCCGCATCAGCCTTGGACTCCTTGCACCCGGGCCTTTCCCTCTCCTTCCGCAGCATGGCTTAGCTGGGGTCGCCCCCTCCGGTTTTGGACCATGAACACACAGGTCCATCAGTGTCCGTGAGATCCCTTGCCCGACTAGGTTTGGCTTTGCCTGCACCTGATCTTTTGCACCCGGGCCCAGCTCCCTTCCTTCACAGCCATGCAAGGCTCGGAAGCGTGATGCTAACTTTCGGCAAAGTCCAGCTAGACCCCATGCCCTCCGTGTTGGATTCCGCATCCTTTGATCCGGCGCTGCTGCTTCGCAGCTCCACTCACACGGGCTCTGTGTTACTTGTCCTGGACTCCTTGCATCCAGACTTGGCCACACCATTGCACAGCCCCGGTCGCCCTGGAAGTGCAATGTTGCCTGTTGGAGTCAGCTGCTCGGGCAGCACTCTGCCAGTCCTTGATCTTGTTTGCCTCGGGCTGCCCCCTCTGCTTCGTAGCAGCGCACATCTCGGACCCAACCTTCCAATCCTGGACCTCGCAAGATCAGGCCTCCTCATGCTATTGCACAGTTTGGGAAGGTTGGGCCCGTCATTCCCTTTGTGTGGCACTTGCTGATTGGGCATCTCCATGCCGATCCTGGACTTTGCGCATTCGGGCCTAGCTGTGCCTCCACACAGCTCTGGGCGCTCAGGCTTTGCACTTTCAGTCCTCGACTTCCTGCAACCCGGCAGCCCCTCCCTGATCCAAAGCCTCGCCCGTATCGGCCCCACTTCCTCTGCCTTCCAATCCGTTCGCCTGGGCAGCTTACTGTCGACGTTGGACTGCTGTCACACAGGCCCTCCGCTTCTGTCGCACAGCCCCGGACGCCTCGACCCACTCTTTCCTGCCCTGAGTAGTGTGAGATTGGAGGCACTGACGCCACTACCAGACTTTGCACTATTGGGTTCAGCGATCTTTGTGCGGAGCTTTGGGTGCTTAGACCCAGCAGCCTTTGCTTTAGATCTCCTACAGCTTGATTTCCTCATGCCCATTCAAAGCTCTGCATGGCTAGACCCGGCTGCACCGGTCTTGGACCTTTTGCATTCAGGTGCGTCAATGCCTCTTCGGAGTCCTGCGCAGCCAGGGCTTGTCGTGCTTGCCTCAGACCTCTCGCATTTGGACCCCTTCTTGCTTCTGCGATCCTGTTCCCATTTGGGCAGCGTGACTTCGGCCATCGACTTTTTGCAGCCAGGGTCCCTGGTTCTTCTTCGAAGTTCGGCGCACTCCGGCCCTGTCTCGCTTACCTCAGGTGTCGCCTGCCCCGAGTTCTCCTCACCCGTGCCGGATTACGTACATGCGGGCCTCGCCTTGTCCACCCGAAGCGTTGCTAAGTTCGACTTCACTTTGCTGGTTTCGGATTTCCTCCACCTCGGATCTGTCCTGTTTCTGAGGAGCTGGGCTTGTCCCGACAGCACGTTTCTAGTTTTCGGAGTGGGGCGGGCTGAATTCCCGCTTCCTGTTTCGGACCCTGTTCACACGGGCTTCATGGCATCCGCCCGTAGCCTCGTCTGCCTTGGGCTCTTCATGTTGGTGCTGAACCTCGTGAGTCCAGACCCCCCGCTGCCATTGCAATCACACGGACGTGCAGGCGCTATATTGTCGGCTCCCGACCACGCCCACCTCGGCCCTTCTGTGCCAACCCGCAGCCTTGGGCAACCAGGACAGCCCTTTGCATCGAGCCTTCGTTGTTGTGAATTGTTTGCCCAGATAGGAGACTTTTGAACTCTTTTTTCTCCTCTGTGCAGGACCTGTGGCACCAGCTTCGGACCATGTTCACGTGGACAGTACGATGTTGCTCCGAAGCCTGGGCCTCGAACATGGCTCTCGAAAGGACGGCTCCTGAACACGCGCCCTCAGACAAGCGCTCTCGTGCTCGTAGCAGTCTGCGCAAGAGTCAGTGTGAAACTGTTGCGAAATGCAGAGGTCCTGCCTGACCTGGTGCCGTAACACCGGTTTTGGACCTCGTGCCCCGTTGCTTCACAGTAGGTCAGGCTTTGTAGGGTGACCACCAACTCCACAGTTTTGTGTGCTTTGTTCTCTTTTTTTCGTTTTTATGCAAGGTTGTGGTGGTCTGGTGCTAGGTACATGCTGGACCAATGATGCCCATTAGAAGCCCCTGCCGATTGGATATGGTCATGCTCGCCCATGCCTCAGTCAGCTAGCCGAGAAGACCGACCAGTGTTCTGTGTTCTCTTTGTAGAGTCTTCTTGCCAAAGAACTGATTGGATGTTTTTTCAGCTGGTTAGCAGGGAATCAGGGAAGTAGGGCCCTATATATACCAATTAAATAAGGGATTATATAGGGTACCTCCTTCCCCCATTCCCTGCTAACCCTGAGTAAGTCTTGCCGGATAGGCAATGGATCTTGCGGCTACGGGTCTGTGCCCGCCTTAGAAACATCTGGCAGAGATTTGTTGGCTTGAGCCGGAGGCTAGGGGAGTCCATGGAGGCTTGTGCAGGTAACGTCTCCTTTCGCTGCATCAAGCCAGAATGGGGTATGATTTCCGTGTCTGTGAGTACAGTGATTGTTGCTTTGCAGGATTGATTTCTCCTGTGATCCAGTGTTCCACTGTTCCTTGCCCACTCCAAGGCAAACCGGCCAAGGCGAACCTACTGGGCTACTAGGGTAGGCATACGCAGTTGAACCGCTACAGGGGCCTGTCTGGCAAGAGGCGGAGGCCGCCCCGGTCGGCAAGTGCAACGCAACACTAATCTGGACGATTCCTCAGTGGATGCCTGGACGGCTGAGGTCGTTGCCTGCACGAAGTTGTGCCCGATCGGCGCTGGCCCTCTTTGCGCTTGATTGCACTCACTCGGACAGCCTGTCGTCCCTGAGGACGCCAGAGAACACACCAGAAGCACGCCCCAAGTCATCCCCAAGTCATCCCCAAGTCTTCCCCCAAACCTGCGTCAGGAGCTTTGGCTGACTGGATGCAGCTATGTTGCTGTTTGGGCTGGCTTGCATGGGCCTGCTTGTGTACTCCTGCCACATTGGAAAGGGCATGTTGAAACCCGGTGCCGCGGGCCGCGGGCTCCCAAACACTACAAAAGAATCTGACGTGTGAATTTGTGAAATCCTGAACCGTGCAAAGCGGGCACCACATCCAGATGTTTCAAGAACAGCTTACACCCGCACTACTGGGGGCAACACAACAGGACGGATGGACCCACCCACCCACACACACACACACCCACGCACGCACGCACGCGCGCACGCACGCACACATGCACGCACACATACAAACACACATACAAACACACATACAAACACACATACAAACACACATACAAACACACATACATACACACATACATACACACATACATACACACATACATACATACACACACACACACACAGAGACAGAGTGTATTGCATCACATCGTCTGCTTCTTAGGCGAGACTGCTCGGATTAAGCGCTTAAGCGTGTCTGTGGATGCAACTGAAGCGAGCCAGGCTTACCCTGGACCACGTAATGGCGGGATCCCCTTCTCTGGTGCGCAGCTCCACAAGAACAGGCAGGAGGACTTTCTAGCTTTATGGCAACTGTGCAGATGCTGTGCATATGCATCTAGCTGAGACGTAGTAACTTGAAGCAGCTTGTAGTAACTGGGCTGTAATGATCGGCTTTGTGGCGAGGCAGTGCTCCGCCTGCATCTGACCTTTTGGTCCCGGGCTCCATGCTGTTGCCCAGAGCCTTGGCCTGCTCTGGAAGCTTGGCACCAGCCTCCAGCAGGGCGACACCTGACATTTCATTGTCCATCTTGGATCTTGCGTTCTTGGGCCTACCAGCTTCCTCCCACAGTTTTGCGAGACTTGAGGTTTCGGTGTCGGTGATGGACTCTCTGCACTCAGGGCCCGTAATGTTTCTGCGAGCTTCCGCGTGCCTAGGCTTCTCGACTTCTGCATCAGATCTTGCACATCCGGAGCCGGCCTTGCCCCTCCGATCTTCCGCCTGTGCTGGGTTGGCGGCCCTTGTCTTAGACCTGTCCCACTCCGACCTCCCGATTTCTACCCGGAGCCATGCGCGCCCAGATCTGATGGTGCCTTTGCTTGACTTTGTTCATCTGGAGCTGCCGCTTCCAGTGCAAAGCTTCATGCAGCTGGGTGCCAGTGCGCCCTTGCCCGACTACGCACACCTCGGATCCAGCATGTTTGCACGAAGTCCTGCACGCACCGATCTGCTCTTGTTAGTGATGGACCACCTGCGCCTTGGCCTTCTTTCGTTGCTGCACAGTTATGGCTGCCTTGGCCTTTCCGCCTCGACTTTTGGCCGGGTCCAGTCCGGCCCTTCTTTGCCAGCACCTGACTCTTCAAGCTTGGAGCTCCTGCTGTTTTTGCACAGCCGTGCTTGGATGGGACCGGCGATGTTGGCGCCAGATTCTGCAGAGCTCGGGTCCTTGCTTCCCTCAAGGTCCCTCGCTCGGCTGGGGCTTGCAATGTTAACATTTGGTGTTGCACGGATTGCCCCCAGCTCACCGGCATCGGATTTTGTGCACACTGGGCCTTTGTTTCCAGCTCACAGCCCTGCGCGGTCTGGCAGTGCCGCACTCGTTTCGGACTTTCTGCATCTGGGCCTTCCGATGCTTCTGCGAAGCTCTGGGCGCTGTGGATTCCTGGCGTTGACCTTTGGCATCTCACGCACCGGACTTCCGCCACCACCCCCGGACCACGCGGAGCCCGACTCTCCAGCCTCGTTGCACAGCTCTGCGCGCCTGGGCCTGGCGCCTTCTGCCTTGGACTTCCTACATCCAGGCCTCTCCACGCCATTGCGCTCTTTCGGTTGATCGGGTCCTGCACTCCCGGCCTTCGGATTGACGAACACGGATGCACCTGCACCCACTTTGGATCACGTGCAAACTGGACTGTCTTCCCTTTTGAGAAGTTTGGCAAGGCCCGATGCATCTGTACTTGTTCCGGATCTTGTTAAGTTTGGCTCGAGCTCACCTGCGAGAAGTCCCATTTGCCCAGGCTTCGCACCTTTTGTGTCAGACTTTCTGCAAATTGGCTCGCTCTTGCCAGTGAGAAG